GTCTTTGAGCTTACTGGGATACTGTACTGTAGTAATATTTCAGTGAACTACAGCAATAACGAGGTCTGTGTGGTCGGCACTGAGCTATTATGGATTGGAGGAAATTTTGTGATAACTCTCAAAACGTTTCCGAAGGTACTTCAGGAAGTTGGGAATGTTACGTTACTTGGCTTTCTGAGCAAGAACTTAGAAGTCTGAGAAAACGTAAATCGTAACGTATTCTTCTCTTTGTATTGCTGTCGCTGAATTGAGAAGAGCTTCCACCATTATGCTATTTTGATTGCTATCCTTGTACATTTGAATCATTCGCTGATTATGGGGAAGAGTGAGAAGTTCTCGATGGCGTTCAATCAACATACGACCTGGCGATGTGCTCAGGGGAGTCGAGGAAATTAACCGATTCATGTTGATTGGCTGATATGACTGTGGAAAAGTTCATTGAACTTCTTTCCCCGTTAGAAGGAACTAGTGAACCTTTCGTCAACTGTGTGAAATTGTTTGTCTACATGAGATAGCTTGTGTTATACTCTTATGTCAGTCCGCGGCGAACGATTTATAATCTCTGTTGCGTTTTTACAGGAATATTCCTCATGCCAAAAGAAGAAAGGATCGGTTGGATCAGACACTCGTGGGAAAAATCTGAAGGTTCGCTATGCTTATCATCGAGCTATCGTGAAGGTGAAGAACTTGTTGGTGTCGAAAGAGCTGTTGGAACGCCAAATGTTAAGATTCCGTGAAGTGAGTTATTTTTCATTGATTTGATTTTTAATCGCGAATCCGTGTGATGAGCTCTTAGGAATTGCCGTCTGATCGATAAATGACGACGCTTGAGAATAACTGATCCGAACTTTTTACGTGTTTCACTGTATTTCCGATTTTGCGGATGAATAATTTGTTCGTTTTTTTTAGGGTGGGAAAGCGGAATAGCTGTTGATCAGGTGTGACGCGTTTTACAGAAACAGAAGGTCGATCCTACTGAAGTTAAGGGGATCGAGTCTTCTTGGGAAATGCTCGAGTTGGTAAGTTGAAAGCTTTATTTTTATAATCATTCTCCACACGACCTACATCTAGTGCATTCCATTTACTCTACATCCCAGGTATACTTCAGCACGAGGGGGATAAAACGGTTCATTGCACGACGTTTCCCTTCAAAATTGGAAATATCGTACTCACCGCGAATCGGGTATGTTTCCTGCTAATGACCGTGGTAACCTGATCGTAGAATTTTAATTTGACCTCTTCGGCAGGTCATGGAACAGATCAAATGGATTTAGAAAGCGGCGTGTGATTCGCCCTGGAATTTTAGATTCATGGTACAGTATGATGACGTGTGAGGGTCGGAATCTCACCGCTTTTCAAATTGTGTGCCTTCTTTTCTTCACAGGGATAATTTTAGGTCAAATGCCACCGTTTTGGTGGAATTGGCCAGTTGAAGTAATTATATAGATGGTACATGTGATGTCATTTCCGCGGTCGGTCGAGAAACCTGCGCAGAGAATCTAAAAAATGACGTAAAGTTGTCTGTTCATTAAACGCTTCTTCGTGCGAGAAATTTTCATCAGATTTACCCTATCCCAAGTATGTAGTCGACGGAAATCTTCTCCTGTGAGTAAATGGGCGTCTGGAGTTGTAGCACTTCGTTCTGTACGGGAATGAAAATGAAATCCTCACGTCGAACTGGAAGTTTCTTGTACTGTAATACATTTTGATGAGTTTTTGTTCTGTCATTTATACGCTCACTCTCGGCAATAGGAGGCGAAACTCCGGTGTCCAGTACTATTTAACATTTTGTTTTTTGAAACTTCTGTTGAATCAGCGCTTGGTGAGATTGCTTCTGCTGATTCTGTGGATTAGAGCAGTAGAGGTATTCAATTGAGGATTAATTTTATTGGTCAGAATGGACTTTGTTCTGCTAAGTGTTCAAGTGCTACGTGGAAAGGATGCTAGATTTAATCCTCGGCATTTTTCCTTTTCGTTAGGATGAAATATGTGTTCAGGCACAGTCGAGGCCAAGTGTGATATGTGTTGATCGCGTTAGACTGACTCCTACTTCCTTCGCAAGTGGAATGCTGATGAATCTGCTGTTGAGACCAAGATCTGTCTTATATCCGAGATCATTCGGTGGAATGTTCTGATGGAAAATTGAGTGCGTTGACGGCGGACGAAAATGTCAAGTTGAGTATTGCATGCGCTAATGGATAAATGTGGAGCACATGGAAAATACTGACTACAGATGGGCTCGTCATTCGCCGAGTGCTGCGCTCAGCTTGGCTCCCTTGCACAATTGAATCTGGATCTCCATCTTCAGTTGTCGGAACTTTTGGAAACATCTTACGACGTAATAGCCGATGACGTTTGTAATGCTTCCAAAGCAGAAACGTTCCTTTGGCCAGATATATTTTCCAAGTGGAATAACGTGAACACACTGTTCAAGGATTTGCTGGAGGCTTGTAAGAGCTCGCAGATTATGCTGTCGAGTACGTTCTCTGTCCCGCATTCTCATGTTAAGCTCTTCAAGCTTGGAAGCCTATGGAGATCTGCTGTCACTGGTTTCAACGCATCTATGTTCTTGTTGGAATCTTTCCTAGTATCAATTTTTAAGCATGCGAGCTTGCAGTGGGCGAAGGACTTCTCAAATTTACCGCTTTTTGAGCATCTTCTGGCGTCGATCACATTGTACAATGAAGCGAGCACATTCGTACAAACATCTCCGTCGAAGTTTCATTTTCAGCCGATAATTTCGTCAGGGAGAAGTGACAGTATGTCCTGCTCAGTTTCGAAGTGGGACAGTCGGGAGAGCAGATTGCGAAATTTGCAAATCAACGGAGTTTGCGGCCGGCCCTCCCAAATCCCCATGAATCTTGTCCGCCTCCTCAACATAATTGCTGCCAAACGAGCTCAGGGCGCTGTTCTTGCAATGACCTGGTCCTTGTCGCCCTTTATGCAATGCGAAACAACCACTGACCTCGATTCATTTGGCCTTCTAGTCAAAGAATGCGACGGTATGGTGACAGACACGGCGCTTTTAGATCAAACGAACGAAGTGGTGCAGTTTCAACCTTTGAAAGAATTCATGGAAGAAGAACGTGCGTCGCTCGGAACTTTTATTGAAGACGTTGCTCGGGTTGATGGTGGTTTCGTGCTGCAGAAAGGTAGCAACGGAAGATCAAAGGTTGGTCGATTCAAATTGTTTTCGATGTGGCTACATCATGCGCAAACAATGTGGAAGCTGGTGAGCGCATCCGTCGGGGATATTCTCTTATTCGACACCCGTTGGGCCACTTATCATCTTCCATTGGTTACCAAGCCTCAGAACTTCGCCGAACACCTTCAGAAAGTATTGCTGGAAGTTCACGCTCGTGTTCAGTCCTTTATCTTGGACGAGGTAGATGATGATCTGAATCGTGCGGCTGATAATGCACGGCAGAAATCGTTGCTTGCGGCCCTCTATGATCTCACTGAGACCGTCTATACCTTTTCCGTATCGAAGAAACTCGACGAGCTGTATTTGGATGCCCAGCTTTTGCTTCATCAGAACGCGACGGAAATGGATGCATCTGGGATACATCACGTGATAGCGGGAGAGAAAGGGATACATTTCTTCAATCCATTCGTTTTTGCGAAAAAAATTGAAGAAGAAACCATGCCACAAACGTACACGCTACTTCAGACCTTAACAGCCGTGGGAGAAGTTTATTCTTGGGCGGTAGAGATCCACCTTTGGGATTCGTTGACGTCGTGGAGCATCGTCAAGTACCTGGATATATCGCAGCATAGCTTGCCAATGATTAGTGACAAGCTGATGCATTTGAATCCTTTGGAGAAGTTGGACGATAAAACTTTACCCGCGGATTGCGTGAGTGGGAAAATTTGGGCTTTTTGGTTGCGAACCACTGAGCTCCGTTTCAAGGCTGTGATAGAAGAGTTACGGGATACAAAGGAGTTTTCTTTCGCCATGTTCGTTAAGTCATGTGGCAGGATTTGTTTCTCTGCTACGGAGGAGCTCATGCCAAAAGGAAATGCTTGGAAGAAACAGCACAGGGCACCGCGTGGTGCTTCGACTTACGTTCCACCCCTCGTTGTCGCCGTGTTGCAGCCTGTTATTGATGCCTTACGAAATTTGTCGGATGCTTCGCAATCTTTGATAGGGTGAGTTCATAGTTCTGAAACTTCTGATGATTTTAAATATTCTTACAAGCAATATTGATGTTCGAATTTTTCTGTAAGCATGTGTATTGAGTGCAATTTTAGTCCGAATTCTCAAGGCTAAGTATAGTGGGTCCCCCCACATGACCGAAAAAATCCGTTCCTGTGTGCGTTTCGTTCTGTGGTATTTTCTTAATGCGAAACGCGTATTTCCCTGAAGGTTGCTTTGTGAAATGCAGTACAGTAGATGCAATCTTTCGAGTAACTCACTAGAAACCCATATTCAAGCTTAGTAGCTGCATATTATTATTTTTCAGCATCTATTATTGAATTCGATGTTTGAATTGAGGTGATCCTGAATTGAGTTTGTGCTGTTATTGAATTGAACAGCAAGCTTTATTTTCACAAGGTTCGAACAATATTCCCACATCCAGGCCCCCTCCCCACCCACAGTCATCCAAAAACATTCTTCATCTTTCTGCTATTATCTTCCTGAATTTCACGAAGTTAACGAACAGAAAGAGGAAAAAGCGAAAAAGTGTACCCTTTTTAAATTTTTCTTCAAATTTCACGAAAATTTCGAAGTTTTAGCCCAAAACATGTCAAAATTCGAGGGGTTTCCTGCCAAGAAATGTCAATTGCAACAATTTCGTTATGTGATACAGTATCACGATTTTCCCCGTAGGCTTTTTCATTGTGCGAATTTTTCGTGCAGAGACTCGCCACTTATTTCCTCTGGTTGGATTAACGGTCCATGGGAATTTCTTTATCCCTAGGCAAGAAATAGTGAAGGCTTTGTGTCACTCGATGTTGGAGGTCATACTGAAGAATGAGCTCAAGTTCAACTTCTTCGGAGCAATGCAGTTGCAACAGGACTTCGTTTGCATCAGGACATGGATCCACAGTTACCGGGTTCTGAGCGAAGTGGCAAAAGAAGAAATCACTGCCAACGATGTGTTCCTGGAGTGCGAAGGCGTCACGAGGCTTTTGATGCGTCAAAGGGACTGGTTCTCGGCTGTTGGAAGGAACCAAGTCGGGCCCGCGCGAAGGGGTTCAACTGCGTGTGCGGGTAACATCCCACCTGAAATGTATGTCATCCATCAGCACTTATGGCTCGGGCTCAGGGTTAGCAGTGATCATTGTCTCGGTCCTTTTTGTTCGTGAAATCACTGATACCGCTACCGTTCCGTCCAGCATTCTTTTCCTTTTATTGTATTCTTTTTAATAATCTGCTGTCTTCTGAAAAATTCGTGCGGGAGTACGTCAGCTTCTGAACCTGGGTCAGTTGTGAAAGGTGTTCTTGGTTACACTCCTGGTACAGTATCTTGATTTTGTGAGCTTTTTGAAATTGTATACCGAATTTTTAGGTTTTCGTAGTTTTGGTATAATGCAAAGCAAAGCTTACCTGATTCTTCAAAGGCCCTTCCAAAAAATTATAAAGGTCGAATTGTGTTCGGGGTTGGTCGGTTCTATTTTCCTTATGGCATTTATTTTCCTTTTGACGGGTTGAACCTTCGTGTCTAACGCCAATTCAAAACATTCTTATTGCAGCTTTTGTTCAACCTCAGATGTCGAATATTTTGTGACGTCGGACCTACAAACTAAAATTTCGTGAGTTGACTTTCTCGCCGACTGGAGAGTACAGAACTTTGCTTACGACTATTCTGGGAAACTAATTTGTCTGAATGAAAACTCGGAATATTGTTCATACATTTGCTAAATTCTTTCATCGAATGGGGTATTATTCATATTTTGGAATGTGCAAAACTTCCTGAATTTTCATTCATCTATCAGTTGAAAGTAAGCCGAAGTTGGAATATGTTCGCAGCACAGGGAAACGTGCTGGTCATTTGTACCGATTATGATACAATTGCATTGAATTTTACCACGTTTGCAAGGATACGGGAATTCAGTTTTTTTCGCGTATTTCTCGCAGTTGTTGATCACGTTTTGTCAAGTTTACGCGCACACACTCAGACGAAGTGAAAAATTTGTGATTTTATGAAACTGAATTAGTGGTTAGTCAAGATGAGGGTCATAATGTGATCTCGAAATTTTTTGCGTTCCGTCCGGTTGCTCGAATTTCTCGGCATGAAAAAGAAACCGTCCATCGGAACTATGTCAGATGTATTTTGTGTCTCTCCGCCAAAAACTGCCAGCTTCGCCTCGTAGATGGGAAATTTCAATTTGCGTGTAAACATAGCTTGCTGATCGTTTGAACATCCAGGTTTCTTTTAACCCTTTTAAACGAAAATTGTATTAGAATCTGACTTAGAAATAACCCAACGAAGTATGTCGTATCTTAGCTGATATTCGGAATCTGCCATATTTACTTCAGCTGAATTCTGTCTCGAGTTAGGAATATTAAATAAGTAAATATCCTTTACTTTTACCTGGCTATCGTCATTTTGCATGAAGAACTAACTCCATTAACTTCAACCCAAGTAATGCGTATTAATCAGGGTCAACTTCAGGTAATGAGGGTGAACTTCGATAGGGCCAATAATTTTTCCTCTTCGCTTTATAGTGGGAGGCGGGGGTGCATTTATAGATTAGGTTGGAATTTGCATCAGATTTTGCTGTGAACATCTTGGAGAAACCTGGGTGTTGATCGGAATCTGAAGGATCAATTTTACTTTCAAATATCGAGAGTATTCAAATAACCAACAGCTGGTAGTTATTGTGGTGGATGGAACTTCGAAATTTCTGGAGTCGAGTTATTTGCCGTTCATTGTAAGTTTTTTTATGCATCGGCGTTGCAGGACGTGAAAAGATGAACGTGACACAAGTTAAGCACCTTAAAGAAGTCGCTCAAGCGTACGAGTACGTTGTTGACGATGTGCTGAGCAAGTGTACTCCTATGCTGGTGGACGAGAATATAGACCCAAACTTAATGAAAGATTTGAAGCAGATTTGGGTGCGTAAGATTCGCGAATCAGGTGCCGTTCCGTATTACGGACTCACGCCGGAAAAGGTGGCGATTCAGATCAAAATAGCTCGTGAAGACGGCACTGCAAGACCGACCATTCCGATCTTGGTTCCTGTTTACGCCAAGGAGAAATCTCCGCAACAGCTCAGGGACGAGATTGCGGCTTTGGGGGATGTCATCAGGCGGGACAATATCCCGGATAACCGAGCGAAGGTTAGAAGCGGACTACTACCTTCTATTAGGGAAAACAAGAGGATTAAGGAAGAATCGTGTTAACACTACTTTACAGACAATCAACCCTTGGAAGAGACACTCAGTTGGTGCTTGCGCACAAAGTGTGGTGAATTCGATCGTTCTGTTACACGTGGACGAAAAAGTAGTTGTGGAGACCTATGAGATGGATAAAGAACCCTATGAAACCCAAGAAAACAACAAAATTCGTTATATAGAGAAAATTTTCGCGGAGGGGTCCTGTCGGTATTGTTCTCTTCGAGGAGTCCAATCTTAGTTAGTCTTCAAGATATCAAACACTTTTTTGCAAGGATAAGAAGAGTTGCAGCCGGTTTTATGCTGCAAATCCGTCAAGCTGAGAGAAAAAGAGATGATTTCAAAATTTTGGACAGTCAGTGATTCCACAAGTTTCGATAGAAGTGGGGAAAATCTCAGCGAAAATGTGGTGCAGATATATTGTTTCTAATTCGAGTTGCGAATTGAAGTGACGGTGTGAGAGGGTTATCTCTGATGGCCTTGAATTGCCATTGTAGTATTGTTGTGCAAAAGGTTTCAATTCTCTCTCAACGTTTCTCTATCGAAAGGTGCTGATTGAAGACCGAATTGACGAAGTATTCCCCCAACTTGACGGCCACTACGACTCCAGTTCAGACTCAGACTCTGATCCGGACGCACCTGCAGCCAAGCGCAACAAACTCAGCCCGGCTTTTTTACCGGTTCGGAGGAGAAGGAGTAGCAGACTGCTGTTGCTGTCGCTCCGGTTACTGCTTCTGGTTCTTCATCTAGGACCACTCGGGTACAGAGGTGAGTTGAGCCTTCTGCTGGACAGGCAACACCTCGATACGATGTTCGAGGCAGACACTGTGTGCGTTTGTCAGTACACGAGTGTAGAGGAGAAGAAGAAGACGCACGATTGGCATTTGCGGTTCTGCGCCCCCTAAGAGTTGAGGCTACCATAGCTAATAAACAAATTCCTCCGAAAACCAGAGCGAGGAACCAACACTCAGAACCAAGTTATTAACATTTAGACTAAAAGCTCCTATTAAATGTAAAACGATGTGTAACGAGTTTGCGTGATTTGATCGAGGATTTTGTTATTGCAGAAAATGCTAATTCAGAACCGCAAATCCAGTTCCGAACGGCTTAATATTTCTTTTCGACGTGTTCCGTTCGAGGGAATTTTTTGGCAGATTTTGATGGCGAAACGTGGGATGATTTATTGTCAACATTTTGAAAAAGTTATATTTTCCGGTAATAGAAAATCATGATTCATTTCGTCATCCACGCGATGCGTTATGACGTAAAGTACTTCCCGTTTGGTAACTCCGACCAGATTTGAACGACTATACGGAAGACCCCTTTCAGCGTATTCGTTACCTTCCGAGCTATAACAATCCTGGTTGGGGAGGAAACATTTTTTCTCATTCGATTTTTTTCTCATGTTCAAGGACGCACATCAAGCTTAAATAAAAACCAAGGGTCACGTCATTCTGTACTATAGTCGTTCCTCGAATCTTTCGCTCTTACACTTCAGCTTGAAACACCTTCAACTTAACATTAATCGCAACTCGACGAGTATTGGGTCTAGGATCTAGGAATCCAGAACTTGCAGCATTTTTAGGTATGTGCACGAAACAATTTATTGGCAGTTTGTTCTTCTTCGATCCCCGTTCAAAAAGGAGCTTGATTCGATCCAGGCTAAATTTTTCATTCGTTTAAATTGTCGATGAATTTTGAAACACGTCCGATACTTCAGTGCTCATGGCAAGGGAAATAATTTTGAGATCAATTGTTGCATGTTGAAGTGAACTCATTTTGATTGAGAGTTAAACCGTCGATTACCTTGAATCTCGATCAAGCAGATTTTTTTCAGGTTAAACCAAGTTCAATGTGGCAGAGTAAATCTGCGGCAACTACGGGTTTTGTCAGTAACTTACGAGTCATTTCCCATTTGTGGCATTTTTCCCGAAGTGAAGAGCCTCACTTTAAAATCTGTTATTTTATTCATGGGACTCGTTATACCGTATGTTTCGGTCCCACTTTTGTGCCTTTCTTCTTCTTGGTTTTTTGAAAATGTTAAACCCTGTATAATCATTACTGTAATTCATCTCATTTCGTATTTGAACGTCGTGAAATTACTGTATGCGTTCAAGTCTTCGAAGCAAAGTTTATTTTGATCTAGTATTTTCGAAAATGATTGCCCTCAGCTTCTTAGTTTATTTTAGAAGATAATGAAAAATGCTGAAGAATTGTTGTTGCTTTCGGAATCTTTTTGCGGAATTGCGGTGTGTGCCTTCGTGTTTCGTTGAATCGTATTGTATCAGTGATCTTTAGTGGGGGCACTGTGAAATGCACGGCGCTGTGATGAATTGTGGTGAATTTTTCAAATGGATTTTCTTATTTTATAAGGATGTGGAGTTGAACGTGTTTCATCACTCTTTCAGGGAACTTGTAACTTCTTGATTTGACGTGACCGCAGTCGATTTGACGAAACGAGTCGAGAAAAATCGTAAGATGGCCGAACAAGGAATCGCCGTTCCGAAAACCGAGCCGACGACGCCGTTGTTGAGCAAACCGATGGGACAGCCCGGAGGAAGTCAGGGACCGAAGCCGCCAATGGGCGGACGCGGTGGCGGCGGCGGTGGATTTTTCAATCGCGGAGGTCGTGGAGGCGGCGAACGTGGTGGTGGTGGTGGACGCGGTGGAATGGGCGATCGAGGACGCGGAGCGCCACGTGGACGCGGTGGTATGCGTGGCGGACGCGGTGGAATGGGTGGTGGGCCGACTCCGATGGAAATGGGCGGTGGCGGAGGTGGCAACTTCGGGCCAGGCATGGGACGAGGCAAGAACAGGACGCCTGAAGTGAGTTGTGAAATTCCTCCGCCCGAATAGCAGATCTTCGTTTTATTCACTCAGACGCAGCCTGGCTAGTTAGATGAGCATGACGTCCTAAGTTCAATTTTGTGTCTTAGGAAAGGGTGATGGAGAAATTGTCGATGGCGTTCAACGGGCCTACGACCGATATCCAGGCGAAAGACGTGATGGAGACGAGGAAATTCACTGGACACTGCAGGTTGTACGTCGGCAACATTCCCAATGATTTGACTGAAGAGGAGTTCATTGGACTTTTCTCACCGTTCGGAGAAACCAGCGAACCTTTCATCAACCGCGAGAAATTGTTTGCCTTCATTAAGATGGTGCGTGTGTCACTGATTTTACATGTTTGTGCGTTGGATTTTGTATTCTCTTTTGTGGTGTTCACAGGACTATCGCTCAAATGCCGAAAGAGCAAAGAATCAGTTGGACCAAACATTGTTGCGTGGGAAGAATTTGAAGGTTCGTTATGCTCAGCATGGAGCTGTCGTGAAAGTGAAGAACTTGTCTTCGTGGGTGTCAAACGAGCTGTTGGAGCGCGCTATGTCAATATTTGGAGAAGTGAGTTGCTTTCATTGATATTTAATCACGAATCCGTGTGATGAGCTCTTAGGAATTGCCGTCTGATCGACAACTGACGATACTTACGTATAACTGATCCGAAATCCAGGCTTTTTTCATGGTGTTGCCAATTCTGTGGATGATTAATTCGTTCGTTTTTTTCTAGGTTGAGAAAGCGATTGTAGCTGTTGATTCTAGAGGGAAGGCTTTGGGAGAAGGAACTGTCGAATTCGTTCAAAAGCCAGCAGCCGCCACGTGTGTCAAAATGTTGTCGGAAGGATGCTTCTTCCTCACTGCGTAAGTGACCAAAGCGGAAATATAAGACGTTTGCATCCATTAAATCTTGACATTAATTGATGAATTGGCTCTATTTTCTTGTTCCTGCCATTTTTTTCAAAAGTTAATTGATTTACTACTTCGGTTTATTTTTTATTTTTTCGTTCATTTAACCACAGGTCGCCAAAGCCAGTGATCGCAGAATTGATAACTGAGCAAGACGACGAAGACGGTTTAATGGAGAAGAACATTCAGCGCAGAAACATGGAATACTGCCAGGAGCGCGAAATGCCGCCCCGGTTCGCAGAGCCGGAGTCGTTTGAATTCGAATACGGCCAGCGTTGGAAGGAGTTGCACGAGCTCGAAAAGCAGAAGATTGATGCTGTCAAAGCCGAGATCAGGTTTGAGCGAGAAAAGCTTGAGTCCCAGATGGACTTCGCCAAACAGGATGCTGAGATCAGTCTCCTTCGCAAACGTGAGTTTTATTAATGAAGACGATCACATGTATTCTACATTTTTTCTGGTGTTGGGGCGTGTTTTCCCGCTACTGTTAAAAGTTGGGATTATTTTCTCGCATTTTTGTAATTTTGCTTTGCAAAGCTGCTCCCGTCTCATGCGTTCAATTTAATAATTTCCTTTAAGCCATCCCGGCAATTAGCCGACCAAACAACACATCTTTAAATAATGGAACTGAACAATTGACGATTGTTTCCGCAAGTTTTAATGCTAGAGTTTTGCCATTCTATTTCCGAAGTTCACGTTAAGTTAGGCGCTGTATATTTGTACATCGGATTAGTCGTATTCATAGTTGGGCGAGGGGTGAGATTTCTTCCTGATCTCAGAGAGGGCGAAGCCCCGTGTGTTGATGGAAAATAGACATGAACCTGATCGATCTCACAATCCCATTCAACCTCAGTCAAATGTCTGATGAAGATTCAAGTGTACATGTATCTGCGCTGGGGCGAGATTTTATTTTTTTTTTCATGTCGGTGGTTGACGGGGATTATCAAATTCCAATTATGTTCTTTCAATTCAGAGCTGAGACAGCGGGAATTGGAGAAAGAAGCGAGGATGCGGAAGCAAGAAATGCAAATGCAGCAAATGGAGGGGATGAGGCGCAACGAAGAGGCGCAGTACAGGAAGCGAGAGGAGCAAATGACTCAGGTAATTTCCAGAGGCGAGGAGAACCTGAGACAACGTGCGCAGGATAACTGCTTGTTTCTCCAGGTAATTTAGTTTGTCAGGGGCAAAAATAAAAAGGAAAGCAAAATCCTTTTTCATTTTCGTGCAGGTCATTCTGTTGACATGCTCTCTCATAGTACAGTACAGTAAATCTATTTGATGAAATTTCGTCTTCATTCATCTGTCGACCTTTTCAAGAGCTTTCAAATCTATTCTGAAAGTGAGAACCGTTCGTTAGATGTCACTAGCCTTTTCCTGAAAATCCTACAAATAGATGTACAAAACGCTCCCTTTTTTTCTATCCCAAAATCCTTCCTGCCGTGTTCAAAGAAGATTAAGGCCTGTGCGTGTTTCGTCTCTACGAAAAGTGTTCAGATTGTTGAGAGTACGAAGTTGACTCGTAAATCTTCGATTCTGATCACCTCATATTCTCCGTTGTTGCCGCCTTGTTCATTTGCAGCAACAGGAAGCTGGTTACATTGGCGGAGAAGGTGGCGACCGTTTCGATAAGGGTCCAGTTGGAGGGGACTTCGGCAAGCCCGAGATGGAACCCGGCTTTGGGCCCGGTGGATATAACCCGTGGGAACAAGGTGAGAGCAAACTGCGAAGGTTTGATCAATGGTGGTTTGCGGCTACAGCGATTTGGTGGACCTCGAGGGGAGCGGGGGAATAAAAAAAAACTGCAAGAATAATACTTGATCTAATCTTGTAATAGCGTCACATTTTTTCTTTCTGATGTCGTGACGTGTTCCATTAGCGTACACGTCTTGTGATTTCATTGTCCTTTAGATATGCGGACGGAAGTTAGTAAGGACCACCTTTTTTGTGTTTTGCATGCGTCTAATCGTAATCAGCTGACCGTTTCGAGTTTCTCGAAAAGTACAGTATTTCTGTTCCTTCTCGCTTGGTGCTACGTGAATTTTTTTATTTTCCGAGCCCTTGTTTAATTGAGATAAGAAGTGGTCTGTAGTTGAAAATTCCGGGCGTTATTTAATGTTGAACAGATGAATAACTTCTGATCACACTATTGCAAGATACATATAAGAGATTTAAAGAAGTTCTGGGTAAGTGATGCGTAAGGGAAAATCACACGGAATTTTGATGTTTTATAAATATTACAGTATTCATAGAAGTATGGGATAAATTGAATAGATTTTGAGCCGTTAAAAAGCGACATGACCGGTTAAGAAGATACTGGAAATTTTAGAAGAAAGCTGAAGTTGATCGTTATTACCTAATTTTTGTGAAGACTTGTAACTTATTTTCGAGGTCCAATAATTGTCCCAAAATTATCCTACAATAAAGCAGAAAGCATCCATAACCAGTATTGTAATGTAGAATGAAAAATGTATTTTACATCACCAATTTTGATCTGGTCAACTAGTCTCAGTTAAACCGCGAGGCTTAAATCTCTTGACTGGAGCCTATGACATGAGGAGAACCCTTAGTTCTGATATTTTCGGTCCATCGAGTCGTTGAATCGTGTATAACAAAATTTTATGATGATCCAGGAATTGCCGTCTGATCGATATCTGACGAAAGTTTTCTGATCAGCTGATATTTATATAAATCTTTTCGTCTTCAGGTGTTATTGATGTGGATTTTACTTTTAACTATGATTTCATGATTCATTTCGCAGGGCCAGGTCCTAGGATGGGTCTCATGGATCAAGTGAGTAGATATTTTCGAAAATTCTGACTTTTTCCCCTCTCCACTCAACGGGGTTTATTTCAACAAAAAAATTGGTGGGAGATGACGTGTTTTTTTTTCTGCAAGCGAGAAGTGCCCCCGTTTTTTGTATCTTGACATGATGCCGTGTTCGCGGGAGCTGGTGGGTTTTTCAGTATGACTTGAACTTGTTGGACAGCACTGAGGTCTTGGGCTGATGATATCGTCATGGGGCATTAGAATGGACTGTTTTTGAGATTTGCTTGTTATATTGTATGGCTCACTTTACTGAGATGAATTTCCAATGGTCGACGAAGTTTATGGAAATATGGAGGCTGCATCTTGGTGTGAAGAAGGCCATCAGAACGATTTTTTCGCGATCGAGGAGATATTATGAGGTATTTTTTATTCAATTGCTTCAACGAGGCGACGGCATTTCTGGAAACGTTTGAAAAAAAATCAACTCGAAAATTGCGGGGCTGAATTTTTTTGGCAGTTACCCGTTTCCTAAATTTTATCAACCTTGGAAGGTTCGTCTGTACGGGAGTCCCATTCATGTGACTGGACATCGCACCCCTTTTTGTGGGAACGAACCTTTTAAAACTTGCTATTCAACGATCGTTCTTATTGCATTCAGAAGATAAAATTATTTCCGTCGGAAAAGTTACCATTTTATAGCTCCGCTTCAGAGAAAGCAGATGCTAGAAATCCCGATCCTTGTTGGTTTTGGCTGATATCGCTCGACATGAGTGAATGAATTTTTGGATAGGATGCGAAAAAAATCGATTCCGATTTCATAGAAAGTGAAATTTACTTCCGGATATTATGCGTGTCGTAAGACGGAGGGGGGGGGGTATATGACGTGATTGAAGCTTGTGTGTAGGATATGAATTCGTCCAAATTTATATTTTTTATTCCTTTTGTTTTTCTTCAAAAAGTGTATAAGAAAAACTTCAGGGGCGGGATTAATACCATCCTGATTCCGTTCGACCGATGGTGAATTTGAAATCTGGGGTGGGAAATTTGCGATAATTTGGATTCCAATATTTCCTGCGCTTGAAGCAAATCCTGGAAAGACGAAGATTTTTATGACCTTGTTTTTGTCTTTGAGGAATTTCACTCATTGAGAAACCCGCATTTTTCATTTTCTGTGTGATCCAAAAAAGAAATTTGGGAAGAAGGGAATTTCGCAATGTACTGAATCCTGTTCCTCACGTTGCTGTCCGGGGTTCTTTGTTGGTGCTGATTCTTTTGGCAAGCTCCCGCGTCGGCGAATTTGATGGAGAATTTGACGGTGGGCACTTGATTGGTTGATGACGATGATGTACTTGACTGTCTTTCCTAATTCCGTTCTTGGATGAATTTCCAGTCGCTATCTTTCACGACGAATTTCGCGGACTATATTTGAGTTCTATTATTTTTTTCCTATTTCTGCTCTTCAGAAGAAATTCAAATTTGATGAAATTTGGGAGGAAATTCGAAAACAAATCGAAGCCCTGCAAATAATCGCTGGACTGAAAATGTTTTTCGATGATGCTGTTAAAATTCTTGGACATTCATGAGCATCCTCTATTCCGAGCTTCATCATGTTTCAAATTTTCTTCATTAAGAGAATATGAATCATGGGTCTGAACATAAATCGTCTAAGAACCTTTTATTGAACGCAATTTGACGAAGTGTCAGAATTTTTTGTTTGTTTTAGAATTGCTCACTGTCTGAATTTATCTTTTTCAATTCGTATGAGAAAGTAACTTTCTTGGGATTTTCTGAAAGGAATTTCATTTGATGAGAATTTCATCATGTAAGTTGAAATTGTTTTCTTAATGCATGAGATGTATACGAGTGTGTTCCGAATCCTCCACGGCGTTGAATATTTTAAAAATTTCGTTTCTCCGCGTCTGGGAAGATTGAAGAAGTTCCTGTAAAGCATCTTTTAGTGTCCTGACGTAGTTCTGAACAAGTTTTTGAGACCTCTGTTTTCCGTTGTGAATTAAAAGGTTTTTTTCACACATGACTGCCTTGAAGAACGAACGAGATACTGTAGCATAATATCGGCTACAAAACGGAAATTACAGTATAAATTAAACTTCGGTAGTTGCGTTTTTCGTTTTTGTATTATAACGGCGTTGGATTTGGTTATTAATTTTGGATTTAATTTGGTTAAATTGTATGTGTAATAATCACGTTATTTTTAATGTTTTGAGTACAGTAATTGTTCCTTCCAGCTGATACTGTACCTTATGTCGTATGATCAATATTTCAGGCTGTGTGGAACTCGGTAAAACGCTCGTATGTCATTTGCTTCAGAATTTCCTTGAAAATGAGTCTACCCGTGCTTCGAGGAAGGCCTGATCTGTGTTTTAGATTTTAAACATAATGGCGATTCGTTTTCGGTCAACCTGCGAAGTCATGGCGATTTTTTTCTATTGACGACAAACTTCTGATTGTTGGTCGAGGAAGGAAAGCGTTTTTTTACTTCGATGACTTGATATGAGGTTTTTGCGCGAGTGTTTTACCTTCATACGTTCCAACAATGTGGGCTTCGAAAGACCCAGTCTTTCATTGCAGCATTTATTTCAGTGCCACTGGCTGATGACGAGTGTGCAGGCAAATTTAGGAAGAGTGCTGATTTTTTTGGTTCGTTATCCCGCGTGTGTTACTTATAGGGCGGTTACGGAGGCAAATTCGGGCCGGATGCCGGCAATGGGCAGCCAGGGATGGCCGGCGGGGCGCCGCCGCCGCCGAGGCAATGGGGCCGTGGTCCGGGCGACCGCGGCGACCCCGACAACTTCCAGTCTAAGCGTCGTCGCTTTTAATTTCCTCGCAAAAACGCGAAAAAGATTGCTTGGGAAAGCCGAGAAAGAGCGAACATTTAGCTATCGGCCTTCCACGGATTTTAGGCGAAGAAAAAGAGGAAACTCCTCTCGACTGAATTCGAACCCAGACACACCTCTCAAGTGTGGCTATTTCGAAAATATTTTGATTTGCTTTGTTCTTAGACTCGCCGACTGAAAATGTTTTTTGTTTGTTTTGTTTTTGCAGTCGCCGCAATTTTTTCCCCGTACTGTTGTTCGATTATACTCTTTTTATGTGTGTGTATCGAGGGAAAGTATGCAAATGGCCGACCCTAGAACAAAAGTTAACGACGAAATGAATTTTCGGATCAGATTTTTTGCCGACGATTTTCACTTGTCTTTCCCGGACGGATGGAAATTTTACAAATTAAACCGAGTTCAGATAAAATTCTGAGGAAGGCGAAAAATACTGTGTAAAAAGAATTCCCCGGAGAATTGAAGAAATGGAAGGGGTTTCTGATCTTCGGAAGAACTCGAGAAGGGATCCTTCACCTCTTTGTAAAATCTTGATGTTTTCCTCTGTTTCCTCAAACTCAGGTGTAAATAGCGCATTTTACAATAATTGCGCTAAGGCGTCGATTATTTTTACGTATTGTAGGAAAAAAAGCTTTCGTTGTTGGTTCATTGTTTCGTCATATTTCTTCCAGGGTGGGAATTTTTTGGATGATTTTCATCTTTCGGAGTAGGTTGCGATTTTCAAAGCCATTTTCCCCCCAAGGCCTGTTCTGATTTCATTATTTGTGTTATAAGCATGTTTTTTGACGTGGCCAATTTCTTGTTGGCGTCAATAATCTCGGAACACGACCAATAAAAGCGTGGCACGTTTCGTGGAGAAAATTGGACGAGGTCATTTTTTTCTTTGAGGATGATTGAATTTACTGAGGCATTTATATTTTCTGTATGGTTCATCTTTTTTTTGCTACCCTTGCGACTCAGCCGTGACAATTTTTTTCTGAAGGACCGATTGGTGATTGAGATCTTCACGGTATAGGTTGGGGGTTTTGCGTATCCTCGAAGAAGCTTGGTACAGGAAAGGATATTGAAACTGTTGTTAGAGAAGAAAGAACTGATTTTCAAAAATATATTCGGCTTTCCGATTGACCTGTACGAGTCTAGAAAATGGAGAAAGTATTTCTCCAGGAAGGTGATGAAGAAATTCAAGGCTTGGGGTTTTATTCCGTTCACAATTCGGGGTAATACACTTGTATGATCACAGCAAGATTTTCTGATGTAGATGGAATATGGACACCTTTCATGGCATACGAATCGCACATGAAGTGAACAAGAATTCCTTTCGAAGCGAAAACGTTGATGCGATTGAAAATCTGTCGACTCAAGAAAGTTATGATGTGGGCTACAATTGATTTTCGAGATCTTAATCCGTTCATTGTGTTTAATGCACGGGAACTTTCAGAGTAGTCGTGATGATTTGATGTATTCGTTCTCAGTTTTTCTGAATTCAAGATTGAATGACGTGTAACTCAGGGCTTTCCGTGTGTAATTAGCCCGGAATTCCAGATGACCGCGCAGGTGACCGAAAGTCTTCTCGGATGAACGCAAACATTTTCGATAAATGTCTTCGATGATTTTCATCCCTGAATATAACGTGGGCCCATGGATTTCAAATTTGAAGGGGGAAAACATGCTCACGCAGGAATTTCAGTCATCAGAAGATGGGCTACTAAGGATGTGGATCATCTACAACTTCCTATAAACTTTAATTGGTTTGAAGTTGAAAAAATTGGTTAAACGTGAAAATGGACGTTTAAGCACTAAAAATGGGGAAATGAATTTTTTCGAAAAATGTGTTGGGATAGTGGTCTTATAAAAGTTTGGGGCCAAATTTTTATTCCATATAGAGGATGATAAGGTAAAGCATTCACTTAATTTGTAAAAAACGGGTTAAATGATCGGTAACCCTTGGAATTTTTTACAGTATTGGTCGAAATCAGGCCACACGATTTAAAACAACAATATTTAATTCACCAAGAAAGGCGCCGTCTACCGATGATGGAAAAGTTGTCGCAAGCTTTAAAAAAAGAAAGCAAATTTTGGATTGTAAAGAAGACGCCACAAAGATGGATGTGTCAGAATAAGAGAATCTCAATGGGTTCAGTCAAACCTCGATTTATTGCCATCATTTGTCCTGGAACTAAGTGATGATGGAACTAAATTGGTGGTATTGTATACGATGGCTTACTTGATAAGTTCTGCTGTAGGCAAATTGAGCTTGTTTATGTTACGGTCTTAGAGTTTCACCTATAAGAGGGAAATCCACAGGAAATATCTTGCTGCTCAAATTTACCTTTTTTATTTACTCGATAATGTGGATTATTAGATTTTAGATTCCATGATTAGATTTTTCTACTTCTTGTGTCAAGTGAAGAGCTGACCTTTTTTTTAGTATTTTTATCAACCTCTCAATGGAAGCACGTTATTCCATGATCAGAAAAATAATTGCCCCCGAATTTTCTAATATTACGCTTGTACCATGTTGAAAATAATTATTCTGGTTACATCTTGTATGAACGAATTGAAACCTGTCCTCATCGTGATCCTTGAGAAGCCGAACATTAAATACTGGTTTTTCAATGATTTTTTTTTATGAATCCGAAGAAAATGTGCTAAAAATCCGCTTTGGATTCCAACGCAACTGCAGTTCATGCGAGAAAAGGTAGGAAAATAACATCACATTTTGGGGATCTTCGAAGATGATTTTCTCCTCCGGTTTGCTGAGAAACTTGCAAGGGTAGCAGGACGCGGGTTTGAATTGCAAGTAGGACGACGTCATCCTTGACACTATTTGACCGAAAAAACCCCTTGCGTGTACAGACTGGTTTTATAGAACGAGGATTTTTGTTGTTGTGATGTTGTCGCGATTGAGATGTGTTTTGCGGAGAGATGCCCGGTGGTTGGGCTGGAGAGCGGCGTCCGACGGTGGCGGCGGCCGCCGCCGCGTGCTCCCCGAAGGACCTAGTCTGGCGCACTTTATGAAACCCGCTCAGAAGGAGGTCGAGCTCGTGGCGACTCGAGCACAAAATGGTGAGTTGTTCCTATCGAAAACCCTCGATTTTCAAACAAGTACTGTGTAGTGTACTGTACAGTACTTAGTTTAATAATCGAGGGTCTTCCCTTTCATGATTGCAGAAAATCCCTTCTTGAAAACATGAAGTCTACTGACGAAAGTATTTTCTCGAGAACCATGCGCTCTTTTTTTTTAATTTTCAGAAATTTATTGTGAGCGTCAAATATGATTCTAACGGAGAATTCTGAATGCATTTCAGTATAATTTTTCTGCAAATTGAAACTATAGAGAATTATGATTTGGGTTCAATTCGTCAAAATTGTGACGTGCCTTATTTTTGAAGTAAGAAAAATTGAAATTGTCTTCTCTTTCGAAATGAGGTGCGTTTATTGGGGAATTTTTCTCAATCAGCATTTAAAGTGGAAAAGTCGGCTGTACTTATCGTCTCAACGAGTCACTTCAACATTAGTCATTCCTGGTGAATTTTTCACACCTTCATTCATTTAAGGTATTCACGCGAGTACCGCACGTCCTTTTTTTGCGAAATAAACCATGAAACCAGCGAGTCTTGGTGAGTGAAAATGATGAAAAGAAAATTCTATTTTGCTATAATGATCTTGATTTTTATATTCCGAAAAATATTATTGGCATTGTTGAATTGGAATGAGGCTCGATTTTTTTCTCGTGTTGCGGAAATCGTTAGAGGTGTGACAAATATGGCCACGAGTTAACAGATGACGTCGGAACTAAACCGTGGATGATGGCATTTTTAAAATGCTGCGCCCTTGAATTTCGTATGCGTACATTTAGGTATAGCAAATACAGTATCAGGGAATGATTTGAAATTTCAATAAGTGTTTGTGTATTCAATTGCTAATATATTACTCCGAATTCTACAAGTAAAGCATTTTGATTTCAATATCGGCATGTTAGTATCCTTTTTATGATCATCCTACCGGAAGGTTGTGGTAGCCTCTATTTTTATTCATGGGAAACGAAACCATTGTTCTTAGAAGAAGATACCTTGATTTCAGAATGAAGAAGTGTCATTTTTGGAGAAAAAGTCAATAAATATTTTCCCCGGATGGCAGTTGATGGAATTATTCCACAGAATATCGAAAAAATTCGTCGGAAATGGCTTTTCTCTGACGTGCGAATGCCATTTTGACGTTTAATCTTGGCTGTGAATGAAATCCTGATCCAAGTATTCGTCTCTCCACAGAATTTCCTAAACGAGTCTGAAAGCATCTTTGTGTTCTTGTCCTTGGGCATCAATTTCTGGTCCTTCATCAAAGGCATCGTTTCTCTAATAAATGGATGTGAAGTGAAATTTATTTGGTCTTTAAATATGTTTCGTACCGAGTCTGCATGAATGTTATTTCAAGACAGCATATTATAGAAAAGTATGGCGTTCCAGCTCCGTTGTTGTCAAATATTGATGTATTTTGCGATTAAAAATTTGTTCCAGCGTGTGTGTGACTTACATGTCGGGGTTTTCATACAGAAGAAACTTGGCGGTTATTTATACCTGTGTTGCGAATGGTTTCGGGGTACTGTATTCATGTTGACCTGAAAATAATATTTAAAAAAATGTCGAGTTATATTCGGACACGGGCATCATTCAAAGGCGAGTGATGATGCCTGCATCTTGTTTTGTGAGCTCCTGCAACGAAGTTAAATCTTCAAAGAATAAGTGGAGTACTACGCAGTAATATTCTGAACATCTGAACAAGACTCATTTTTTTATTTTTAACCCTCTTGACTAATTCAGAGTACAGTAGGAATTGAGTGGAAAACTAAGGTGGTAACGAGGAAGTGTTCACTTATCATACAGTGATTGGAGGAACGTCTTGGAATTCTGGAAAAAAGACCAGGATCTCTCAAGTCATAAAATCGTGAGGAAAGCTATGGAATTTTCCACTATATTTTACCAACGTGGAAAATATTTGAACAGAGAAACAATTTACAGTACGTCGAAAATAGTATTTAATTTGAGATATTTAAAATTGATCGAAATTTCGTTTCATGGCACAGTATTTTAGTTATTTAGTAATTGTTAAATTCTAATTTTTCGAAGCAGGGAAGTGTTCTCAAGTTTTTTGCATTGCTATTCGTGATGCGCAACGGGAAATTTTCAGCTTGGCAGGAGAATTCGGAAGCGAGAGAAATTTGTTTTTGCAATATTTATTTATCATGTTTCAATATTGATGGACGGATAGATTTTCCGTGTGGAATTCAAGGAAAGACTTGAAACGAAGCGTGCCTATACATTGGCAAGCGCGGTAAGCATTGCAAGAGTATGGAAAGAATGGATATTGATGTGCATGGAAGATGATTATTTCATATTGTACTCTTTTTTTCAGGAATTTTTATTTGACTATTTATTTCAACTTTTTTTTTTTACATTCGATGAATCAGATTTTTTTGACGTTTCATACATACTAGAGAGGTTCTGTACAGTTGTAGGCATCTCGACTCGATCTGAAAGTGTATAATCCGTTTCTCTGTCAAAAACCCTCACGTTGGGTTTGTTCCGTGTTAAAATCTATTGACATTTTTCTTCGGAAAATCAGGCAGTGTTGCCATTTTTAACGGTATCCTTTTTGAACGGTGGAAAATTTATTTCAGGTCGGTGGCTTTCCGACGGATTTGCTGACTAATTTTCCATGTCGATAAAAGGAAGTACAGTATATTTTGTGGTATCTTCAAACTGAAAATGTATTAAATGCAGATACTGGAATCATCAACACATGGATACCGTAGGAATTTGACTACAGTACAGTATTTTCTCCACATATGCTCTTCTTGTGTACTGACTGCTTTTACTGAGGATGCCAGTGATTTTCAAAAGTTAGAAGTCCTGGTCTTCCACTGCCCAGATATTCGTGGTTGTGGGGCTGATGACAGCTTTTTCTCCTGTTTTCCGACAGGTACGCCATCTTTTGACACCCCTTTTTTGTGGCGAAATGTTCTCAAGAGTGAAAAAAGTGCCATCTGCTGGGTATTGTCCAATAAATGGCTAGTTTTTTTGGTTGCAAAATAGAGTGAGGAGCAGAACCTGCGCAAATGAGAAAATCGCGTAATGGAACAGGGTAGGGGACAATATCTAATGGGACTTCGTGGGCAGACCCTTCTTTTTGACCTTGAGGTAGAAGATTAACACACCAAAAATGAAAACACTGAATTTCATGAAATTTTGAGGCATTAAGAAAATTATTCCTGCTAGAAACTAGGCCTTGGATGTTGTTATTGAAGAGGAACTACGAAAAATTGGAAACTAACCCCTGCTCCTTGAAAAATGCAAAATTCACTTCTCATTTGTTGTGAACAACATAATCACATGAAAATTTTTTTTAATGTCGAAAACATATTGGGTGAAACGATGTAAAAATTCCTATTTGTTAGCTGTGCGGACACATTTTTAGCACCCTGTGATTGAGTGGAAAACTGCACCAAAAACTGGAAAATGTTCACTTATCATGCCAAAATTGCATTTTTATTTGAAAAATCTGAAGAAAAAAATTTGCCAGGACAGATCTCCACAGCCTACATCATGAAATGTTATTTGCAGTGGTACCTACGTCAAAAATACCCAAGGCTACGTTCATGTCGGACAACCCTAGTACATTTTTTTCTGTCGAAATTTCTCTTGGCGGGAGTGCGTTTTGAAACTACTTTTTCGCATCAGAATCTTGATGTTGAAAAATGACGAAGAAATCTGGAGTTCTATAAAAGTCTTGAGAGACTGAGATTCTTGCAGATCATTGGCGAAGCGATTTAAGTAAGTACTGTATGTGGAAATCCGGTTACGGATAGATTTTGAGTCGGGAGAAACTGTTCACTTATTTGCATCCATCGGCATCTCTTCGGTTGTTCGGTGAGTTTTTGGATGTAGAATGAATGTGGCAACTCAATTGCTAAGTGATTTTTTTTTATCGTGAGAACGGATAGTTTTAACTGCAGCTTTGGGCTTCCGTTCACGAACAGAAAACTCTCAAAATCTTAAGTTTTCCAATTGAGGAAGAAGAGAACAGTGCTGAAGTTTAAGCATTGTTCGAGAACTTATCGAACTGTTGCATGAGTTCGAAAGAACAGAAACATGCTTATGTGACGGCTTTGAGAATCTCACTTGACATGAAAAGAACTTCGTGATCATCGTAAGTGTGAAAGGGAGGATATCGACCGAATTTACGGTCAGTTTCAAACGAAGGGGTCTTCGACATGAAAGACTGTAATCTTGTTCTGGCGTCAGAAAGACGAAAATTCCGTCTTCATTGGAAATCCTACCATTCCGAGCTTGGAGGTACGTCTTGATGCTTTTTGTCAAAAAAAAAGTTATTTCCATTGATATTTCTGTTCAGAAACCTGTTTTTCTATCTTTCTCCACTGAATTAGCGCAGATTGCTGAAATTATTCTTTTGAGAATGCTACTGTTCTTTTAATTATTCTATGTATATCGTGGAAAGGATAGTTGACTTTGTGTTGTTCGTTGCTTACGTGTACGGTTCAAGCTTGTCTTGTTGATTAGCCAAAAAGGAAGATGTTCTCTCTACGTAATAACATACGACTGATTTTTTCTACGAGACCAAATGATGACTCTCATAGCTCGGTTTTTACACACTAGGCCTTTTTACGGGCTGAGAGAAAATTCTATACTGTTGTCCCCTCGAATTCTTCTATCGTAATATTGCCTTTGAAAAACTAACTAATCAGAGAGAAATTCCAACATTACTGTTGAGCCACATACCGTATTGAATTTTTACCATCAGGTCTTCATTGATGTATCCGAGCATACACTGTGTGGATTTTCCTGCGCTTCCTTTTTTTTCGAAGTAATTTACTTCCTCCATCATCTCCCTGAATTCTGTATCACATTTAAGTTATCTTTCCTCTATAGTACATGGTTTCCTCTGTGTGAATTAGACTTCCACAAACGCAAATTTACTCATCGGCCTTGTTTTTCCATCGAAATGGCGCCGAAAGAAATGCACTGATGATTACGAGGTACTCGACCGCGAGGAAAATTTGGCCATTGGATGGCCTAGATTTTTATATCATTACGTCAAAGAGATTGAAGCTTGATAATTTTTTTTTCCTTTTGTCTATCCGAATACTAATGAATCTATTCCACAGTTCACTTCGAGATATACGGCTGTCAAATGAATGTGAACGACGCGGATGTCGTTTGGACAATTTTGCGGGACGCCGGCTACGGAAGAGCCGTTTACCTGTTCGATCCGCGAAGGAGCGGAATCGAAGATTTGGAACAAATTGCGAGACCTTGCGGCGTTGCGGAAGAAGAAGAAAAGCGTCAGTCGTGTCGCACTTCTTGGTTCGTATTAATGGTCGTTTCGCAAATTTTTCAAAGCCGTGGCTAAAATGACGTGTTTTCCCTTCGAAGAGATCCCGTTTTGGGATTCGTGGTCGTAATGCTGGAAAAAAAAATCGTTGAATCAAAATTCTCTGAAAAGTGATCAATTGAGTTTCTTTTCTGAATCGTGAATGGACTCTTCCGTTAATTTAAAAAGCCGTTTGTTTCTTCGGAAAATGAATGGCCACGTTAATTTTTTTTTTTACATTTTCTGTGTACGTAGTCAGTGAGGGTTTTTTGTCGAATCAGCTAAGTTGCCACTCTGCTTTTTCCGCAGGGGGTTTTTTTTTTTTCTTCTTTTTTTTCCTCTCTTCAAGAATTCTTGTGGCACTAGTGTTGTCAATTTCTTATGATAAATGTTCTAATTTCTTGTCATTGCACAATTCATTCGTATTTCTGTTACGTATGAGTTCTTATTCGCTCGTTGAGCATGTTTTAGGAGCCTTTTGATGAAAACCCTAGCGGTTGCGTTGGAATTTTCGTGCTTGATTTTCCTCTGTCTGTGAGCTGATTTTATAGAGACTGAAGAAGTCGTATTTATGATCCAAGGGATCTTAACCTTATTTTTGCTGAGGTGTGAAGGGAAGAATCATAATTTTTTTTTTTTTATTTCGATTTCTACGTGATTTGAGTATTTCATGAGAGATTTGCTTCACATCATGGGTCGGGACAACCTTCGCAATTTTTGCAGGTTGCATGGCGGAAAGGTTGAAATCGAAGCTTCTGGAAGGCGAAGAACGGTTGGTGGACGTTGTTTGTGGCCCGGATGCCTACCGAGACTTGCCTCGTTTGCTCTCCGTCGCCGAGGCTGGTGATCAAGCCATGAACGTCGCTCTGTCTCTAGAGGAAACCTACGCCGATTTGGCCACTGTTCGATTGGATGCTAATTCAGTTACCGCGTTTGTGTGAGTCGTGGATTGAAGCGGATTTGGATTGTCAAGTTAACCAAACTCGGTTTTTATATCTCAAATTTTGTGGGGTTTCTAGATCAATAATGCGAGGCTGTGATAACATGTGCAGTTACTGCATTGTGCCGTTTACGAGAGGACGTGAACGATCTCGTCCGATTGAGTCGATTTTGCGGGAAGTCGAGAGACTGGTGGATGAAGGCGTTAAGGAAGTCACGCTTCTGGGTTAGTTTTACAACTTCATCCTCACTTCCCTGATTACTCTTCGTAAAATTTGAAGAAAACTTCCCACGCCATTTGTTATTATAATTTAGTTCTCATTAAAAATGTATATGGTAGTCATTATAACTCCTCGAGCACTGGACGAGTAGAGGCCTGGAAGGTAAGCATTGAATGAATTGCCCGCATTATTTCTCAAATCTGCCTAAATATTTGGCAAATTCATATACCGTATTTACACTTAGTTAGGCTCCCCCTTCTCCCAGTTTTAGAAGCTCGAAGACTGGGGGTGATTATATTAGCTCGTATGTTCGCGTAAATATGCGTCTTTATCAGGAAATCTTCCTGTTAGCGGCCTTCAAAATGATCAAGCACTTCTTTTCTTCAGTCATTCTGGAATTTAACTTGAAAATAATCAAGAAATGGTCAGCCTCGAGCACTTTCAGGATGCATGAGTCATTGACTGAAGGGAAGAGCAAAGGTTGTTCGACACCTTTTTTCTTTCTCTGGGGAGAAGCTGAACGTCAGAAATAGTAGGTTCGTGGAGGTCAGAATCCTCGCACCAGAAAATTCTGTGCTTTGATACGCCTATTTATGGTATTTTAAATTTCTGCATGAGAAATCTTGGGGGTGCTCACATTCGCGTGAATGTGGTAATTGGGATTTATTCTTGGTTAGGTGATCATTTCAGACGTTGAATCGATGTTCCACACAGCAATTGAAGCGTTGAAGTTGAACGAAAGGTTTTTTTTAATATCCTGTGAAGTAATCGACGGCTTTCTGGACTTCCACTATTTCAGGGCAAAATGTCAACAGTTACCGAGACGTTGGGTCTGACAAGAATTCCGTGCATGCAGTGAAATCGGAATCAAGGCTGGCGAAGGGCTTCAAGACTGTTTACAAGCCATTCTTTCCTCCTTAAGCAAAACGCCTCAACAACAGAGCTCAGCGCCTTTAGCTAGGGTTAAACGCCCAAGCGAAGTGTAGGGGCGTAGGCTTTCTGAAGGGACTGCTCCAAGCTTCTAATAGGCGTGTCTCGCGGGAGTGTTTATTTTTCCATTTGTTGAATAATCTATCAGCGAGAATCATGGCAACGCCTTTTATTCCAATTGATCAGGTTCTCCAAGTAATCAGAAACAATCCGAACGTGTGCAAGAATATTCACCTTCCGGCGCAAAGTGGGAACAGCGAGATTCTGGAGAAGATGCGACGAGGTTACACACGGGAAGCCTATTTGGAACTCGTGGATCATATCCGTAGTCTCATTCCTAACATTGGTCTGAGCTCGGATTTCATTTGCGGATTTTCCGGCGAAACCGATGAGCAATTTCAAGATACATTGACTCTCATGGAGGCCGTGAAATACAACTTCGCGTATCTTTTTCCGTACAGCTTACGTGAGGTGAGAAATCTGTCACGATTCTTCTGTTTTTGCTTTTCTATGTTCATGAAGAGGGAAGAAATTACAAGTTGTACATTCGATGAGGATGAAACTAGGAATCGGTTTAGAAGTTTAGTATTTGCTTGCATACATTTTTCTATTCATTGATTTTGCACTACTAGTGAAACGAAATTTTTCAACTGCTAATTATTTTTGCGCTCTTCTGTTCACAGAAAACCCACGCTCACAGGAAATTAACTGACGACGTTGCGGAGAATGTGAAGAAGCGGAGGTTGGTGGAAATGCAAACTGTCTTCCGAAGTTGTGCAGAAAAATTGAATGCTGCTCAAGTAAATCAATTGCAACTGGTGCTGGTGGAGGGGGAAAGTAAGCGGTCTGATGCGGATTTGGCTGGAAGAAACGAACGAAACACCAAGGTAGTCTTTCCCAAGATCAGCTTGGCCACTGGCGGCAAGGTACCTGTTCCTGGGGACTACGTCGCCGTGAAGGTGAGTGATCGTATTAAAATTTATTTCTATGAATGTATCATGCTCAAGTTGGAATATAAGCACGGATTATCTGGAGTTTGGAGTTGTTGCGGATCTCAATTTTCCGTAAGGTTTTTTAAATTTACAAATGTTGATTTCGTTTGTTTTTCAAAGTAATGTACTGTAATAAATTTTCTGTAACAGGTTTTTTGTTAGATTCAGCTTGAGTTTAAGCAATTATTGACATTTTTTCTTTCTTTCAGATAAATTCATCATCTTCTCAGTCACTGAGAGGAACAGCCGTCAGCTTCACCTCCGTCGTGGACTTCCACTCTAGCATGGAAAGACTTTTGGCAGTGTCATAAACTTGATCCTTGTTCCCATACTCCCGAAGCATTTGATTTCGAGCGAAGTTTCCGATTCTGACCTGAAAGCAGTGTGTGTATTTCGTGATGATGTGCTTTTTCTTCTCCGCAGACGTGGTGGTAAATTGTGTACTCGGAGCGTGTAAATTGGCGAGAGGCCTGAAGCCGGTGAGATGGCCCTGGCCAGACTGTCGTCGGTGAAGCTGCTGTGTCAGCTGAGGCCACTTGTGGGAGCAGTGCGAAACGCAGGGCACTGGAACTACGAATGGCAGCCGGGTCCTTACCCGAAAACCCCTGAAGAACGATTGGCGGCTGCCAAGAAATACAATCTCGAACCCGAGGATTACAAGCCGTATCCGGAGGGTGATCGCTGTCTCGGGGATTATCCCGATTTACCGCCGGTAATTACGCCAATTGATTTTATCTTTGCGCAGATAATCTGTTCGACTTATATTCTATTGTACCATTACGAGAAAATACTTAGCGGAGCCGAATAAAATACTGTTCTGTAACTTCATGCCAGGCCACAGAGTTTCTTGTCTAGGTGTGTACTGTGCATTACTTCGCTGCTTTCGGATTTCGGGGATGTGTCCTGAGGGAATATTCGAGAGTTTATACTGGAAACCGGTTCCACTCCTCTCACAAATTCCCGGACTTTTCATTATTCGCTTTTCGGTGACATCCATCTTCGGGTTCACACTTACAGAGAAAAAATAATCGTGTAGTAATGCCGTTTTTCAGGATAAAATTGTTGTAGGTTGATAGTTAAGCTTGGGTTAAGTTAATATGGATTTAGTTCAGGTTTTTTCTGTTTATCCAAATGCCATATTACCTCAACTACGACGCCCTTTTTCTCAAATTGTGAGAAGAAATTGGGGTGTGCGGCATTGACGGTTATACATTTTTCGAAAATTTTTACTAATTAGGTGTGTATTATACTTGCTTTTAATGGGAAATTTTGGACCAAGTTTTATAAAAAGTTATTATTATGGATACAATTGAAAAATAGTCAAATTCAAATATTCTGCACAAAAAAAAAGAGATTGGGAAATGAATTTTAGATGTCCCTCGAAAGCATAAGATGAAAAAGCGAAATATTGACGTGGAGTTTCGCAGGAACCGGTTTTCAGCGGAAACTTGATCAGGGAATCGTTCCGTGATGCCTGATCAAGAGGACTTGATAAGTATCATGATTTTGCTTTCTGCGCTGGAGAATCGCGCATAACGGTTGAAATATGTTCTCTTGAAACAGGTTTCAACAGACGCGAGAGACCCGTTTTACCCCTGGGATCATGACGTGTACAAGATTAACTACGGGGAAGCGTTGTACAAGGACTACGAGGCGTATGGCGCAGACAGGCTGAGCATCACCGTGAAACCGCGTTTCTCGTACCGCAAGATGTGGACCACATGCATCATTTCTATCGTGTCCTATTTCGTCATTATCTCTTATTTTGACGTGAGTATAACCTGAGGAAAATTAAAACAGTGGAAATAGTGCTCGACCGAGTTTTCACCATTTTTCCCGATTCTGCGTCTTCTTCGTTTAAATGAGAAGAATACATGTGAACTTCCGTATGAGTCGAATAGTGTACCTCCTTGGTCTGATTATTTTTTTTCAAGTCCCTTTGTGAATTCCCTTGAGCAAAATTTATTAAAAACCTCCCTAACCCCCCCTATTTGAGGGCTTTTGCCCTCAAATCTCCATTACTCGTTTTTTCTGGATGCCTTTCGGTTATTAATTTTATTCACACTGGAAATATGAAAGCATTCAAAGTGTAACTTTTTTGAAAGAAGATATTTGGGCAAATGAACCGTTGCTTCGAAGTTCAGCATACTTTCAACTCATTTAAGATGCAATTGAAGGCCTAGAATATCACCAATTGAAATTTCTTGTAATTTTTCGCTCTTTCTCCTTGACAGTGGAGCTTTTTTCCCTTGCTTAAAACCTCCCTAATTCGATTTTTTTTTCTTGGTCCCTCGTAGTTCGACTTGAGGTTCAACTGTATTCAGATCAGTGTACACTATTCTACATCACGAAAATTATCAATACGATTTTGGTTGAACCAGATTAGTTTTGTTCGCGTTATATTGAAAAAGAAGAAATTTCATGCTCTAAAATTTCCCGGTTTTTTTTTTTTCTTGTGCGTAATTAGTGAAGAGCGCTGAAAATAAAGTTGAAATGTTGAATGAAGAAATGGCTCTTTACCCGAATCTGTTGTACGCTTAATTTTTATTTCTTATACAGTATTCGCCCTATAAATTTGTAGTCCGAGAATCTCTGCTTCAAAATCGATGCTTTTCAAATGATCTCTTGGTTTTGGTTTGATTTTTCAGAGTTTCAGCTACTACCCGATGCCGGTCATGCCAAGGCAGTTCCCGGACACTGGAGCCACTCATTACACCTTCGAGCCTGCAACTGACTGAGTGCTTCATCCCCGCTTGAAAATGAATTGTATCTAGTTCCGTGGTTTGTTTCTTTTTCATATAAAAAAAACAGTCGTGATAAAAACGGGAACGCGTTTTGTGTGAAATCCTGTGGTAGGCCGCGCAGAGGAAAAATGGATGAATCCTACTATTTTTATTATTAAATTGTGTCTTCATTCTTTTTTTCGGGGATGATGATTGTTTCCAGTGATTCAACACTGTTGAGGGTTTTCGCAGGAAAAGAAAACCTCTCGAGATGGAGAAGCTGAGAGGAGTTGTGTTATGGTTGGCATTCTGCTTAGGGACTGCCGCTGGTGAAATGTGTCATTCCTTGCCCGGGGAAAGTGTTTTTCCGCACGAGCAGCAGGGTCGAGCTTCAGGTCATGAATTGCAATTCAGCAAAGCTATCAGTGAGTTACGCTATTTTTGCCTTTTTTTTGGAGAAACACGCTAATTCCAACGTCTAGTTATTTAATCCCATTGAGAGTGATGTTCGTTAACTGTAATCTGTTTATGTGGTGATTATCATCTCATTTTTTTGAATTATTTCGTAATTTTTGGCAGTTTCCAAACCAGCGCCATCGTGGGAAGGCACAGCAGTCGTTGACGGCCAGTTCAAACAGCTTTCTTTGGCGGATTTCAGAGGAAAATATATCGTTTTCTTCTTCTATCCGCTCGATTTGTAAGTTTTTCACTAGGGATTTTTCTGGGTTAATGAAAAATCCACGCTTACTCGTATTAAAGATGGTATCAATTCCAAGTTTCACTTAGATCCCCTCATTCGCCGCTTGAAGGTGTCACAAATTCGAGTTTATGAACATCTTTGCTCTCAGTTCTGTTTTTTTCTATCATCGAAGCACCATAGTAGAAATTGTGAGGTGAAGCATTTTTCCGAAATAATCCAAGGCACGGGATGATCTGAACGATTGTTTCGGATAATATGAATCCCCGTATTTTTCAATAATTCGAACGCCCTTTCACTGGGCGGATCTTGGAAAAAAAATCCTGACCTATTTTCGAGATTGAATTTCAAAACCACGAAATCTGAATATAGACTGATAGTTCTATTGATTTCTACATCACTTGAGCTCCAATTTTTGTCGTGTGCAGTATTGTTAAATTTAAATATTAAGAGTGTCTCACATCGGAATAGTTGAAGTATGGTGCTTAAGAATTACAGCATCATTCCGGCTTTCCGTCGTCAGCTAGGAGCTTACGGATCACTTTTTTCTAAAATTGAATCAGGGGACATCCTTATTAGGAAATTATTCGGTGAAAGGTATACCTGAGTCACTGGTTTTGTTCAATTTTTTCGAAGCTTTCTAATACTAACCACTTCTGCAAGCAATGGCTGTCGAAGAAAATAAAAGATGAATCAGAATTATCTCCAATGAAGTCTAAAGCGTTCGCTGTTCATTTTTTAGATTTTAAAGATCTTTTTTTCGATCCGCTGCAAAAGGCGAAGGGAGAACTTTCCTGTTGGAGCCAGAGTTTTCCACTCATTTCACTGATCGCTGAAAATTTATCGAGTTTAAAAATTGAAGATCTGTTGTGTAGAATAATGTACTGTATCATGTTTCTCATGTCTGGAGAAAATCCGTTCTTCGATTTTCACCTATGCGAGAAATTATCGTGACTATGAACGGCATTAGAACCACCCTCGTTTAAGAACATTCTTCTTGTAAGGTACTGTACAGTACTACGATAAATTATTTTCACTAGCCAGGAGTACTCGGGTAGGAATTAAGATTCTGCGTGTGGGCCCATTTTTTTCTGAAGGAATACGTGTCCTAAGCTACGTAGAGTCTGCGTGTAGGCCCATTTTTTCCGAAGCAATACGTGTCCTAAGCTACCAAGGTGGCTATTTCTTTAGTCCCTATTTATAGTGGTGTGTTAACGCTTTCAATTTGAATAATGCATATTTTTTATCGTCCTCAGCACTTTTGTATGTCCTACGGAGATTGTGGCCTTCAGCGACCGAGTGGAGGATTTCCGCAAGATGGGTGTGGAAGTGGTGGCTTGTTCTGTGGACTCTCATTTCACTCATTTGGCGTGGGTGAAGACTCCGAGAACCCAGGGAGGTTTGGAGGGACTGAAGATACCCTTGCTCTCGGACATCACGCACCAAATTGCCAAAGACTACGGGGTTTATCTTCATGACATGGGTATTGCGTTGAGGTGAGTCCTGGAAACTACAAGCGTAAATTTATTTCCGTGGGGCTTGAAAAAGAAAAATGTTGATGCAATTCGTACTCTAAAATTCCTGGTGAAGCAATTTGACGAGGGATTCAATCGAAATATTGCAGCTCATTCCTCCGTATAACGGATTCCTCGCATAGCGGATTTTTTGTGCATGTTGAAAAAAAAAAGTTCCGTCATTAGTGTTGCAAAGCAGTACCGTATCATATCCTATTACTGTACAACTAAGTCGAGGCTACTCTTGAGAGTAATTGCGTTGAGCGAGACTCAATGAATGAGCAGAAGGGGAAATCTGGTGTTATGTGATATGAAAACATTTTGATTTTAAAGTTAGTCAAACCCCTTCTAGATCACCAAGAATAATTGACTTATGATCACATTTTTATAGACCCTGTTTTTGGGAATGATAAGTCAAGTTTTCAAAAGTGATGAATGCTAAATGTGCTATTCGATGTCAGCCGATGTATTCAGGCGTTTCTCGTGAAATATTGTCTCAATTATTGGAATTACTGTAGGAAATGTGGACGTTTGCGGATGAAGTGAAGTGACTTGATTTGACATGTACGTGATTGATTCAAAGCCATGCTACGATCAAGAAGTGAATTTATTGAATATCGTTCGTTTCAATCAAACTTTACTTGATTTTGTAGTGAGTCTTGTATACTGCCAGAATCATTGCTTACGTTTGGAGCAACGAATATTCTTGACTGATGTTGCATTTAATTACAGGGGCCTTTTTATTATTGATGACAAGGGAATCCTGAGACAGATTACGATGAATGATCTCCCCGTTGGCCGTAGCGTGGATGAAACTCTCCGTCTGGTGCAGGCATTCAAGTTCACAGATGAACACGGAGAAGTTTGTCCTGCTGGCTGGAAACCAGGTGGAGCCACAGTAAGTCATTCAATTCTGACGTTCTAATTAATTGCGCTTTTTTCGTCGGGGAAAGAAAATCGACTAATTTTCGAATCGCAGGTTTCAAATGATTTTCATGCTTGCGTCATGGGGTTCATTGAGAGATTACTTCTGATTCTGCTTTGATGAAGTTGAATCTTCGTAACTTAAACGTCCGTATGTCGAGTTTTTGTTCAGTCCCTGTCCGAATTACCTTTGAACCTCTATGAACTTTTTAGGTCATTATTCTGGAGATCCAGGAAAGATAACAGAAACGAAGTTCTAACTTAATGTTTTTCAGAAAGAATTGAGTGACTTTTCGGGCAAATGAACCGTGGCCTACATGATCCAGCATCCTGATAACTCATTTACCCAACACTTCAAGGCCCGAAAGATCGTTAATTTTTATTTCATATGATTCTTCATTTTTCCCCTGAAAAAATGCTAGTTTATCTTGCTCAAAACACCCTAAGTCAAACTTGTTCTCGGGTTCCTTTGAGTTTGAATTGGAGATTTTCAATTATATTTTGAAAGCATTTTTTTTAGTAACAGTCCGTCATTTCTTGTTGATCCACATCACCGAGTAATTGATTTTGACATTTTCTGGAATTTCTGTATGCGGAGGGAACATTTCAGAAAAGTGAAAGCTACGTTAAACGTGATCATGTTGCTGGGTTGAAATGCGAGCTTCAAATTTCTGCATGGTCTCTCTCTGTCAAGCCGTTTTTCAATGTGAGAGTAGTTCTTCCTTTTATTGCCTAAACCTTATTTTTTTTCGTTTCAGATCATTCCGACTCCTGAAGAGAAACTGAAATATTTCGCTCAACAGCATACGGATCTCTGAGTTGCCTCAATGCCAAGGAAAGCTACTACGTTGTTTGAAAATTGTTGCTGTGTTGAACTGCTTGACGTGTGTTTCAAACTTTTGGAAACGGGAAAATCCTGCGGATTGTGATGGAAATGCATTATTCCTGTGCAGAACGAGAGGGCTTTCTCTTCACTCTTTTTAGAACGTTGGCAACAAACGAGGTAAGCCTTTGTGAGAAAACTTCTTCTCCCGGGGGAATTTTTGGAAAAAGTCCTCAACGTAAGAAAGTAAGAATAAAGCGGATTTCTAGAAGTTTTAGGCAACACTTGTAGTAATGTTGACTGTGGTTCACTCCTTACTTCATTGACCTTCTCTGGTCTCCCGAGCCTGAGTTGAGTTCAAAGAAATTTCAAAATTGAAATTAATTTCAATTGTCTTATTCAACAGGCTTTGCATACTCCAAGGGGAAGTCTCTAATTTGAGTACTGTTATGCATTGGAATGTCAAATTCACTCCTGATTCCCGAACGAGGTCCTGAAAAAATTATTGTTCTCTAAACGGGTTAATAAGAGTGGCATAATTTTTTTTTCTTGACTCCAGAGAATTTTTTCATTTTTATTGTTCAAGTGAATTCACTGTTATCAGGTGGCAAAATTGCTTCAGGAACTATTCACATTGTCGGCGTTGTATTTGTGCTTCCACGCTAAGATGCCGAATTTGATCTGTTGGAAAACCTCGTACCATTTTCGACAGATCAGAAAATTGGGTTCAAACCATTGTTGTGGAAACTATCATTTTTACTCAACTGAAACATTTCTTTTTGTTTGACAAGAATACTAGTGTCGAGTTTTCAATCAAGAGTTGACTCACCTCACGTGTCAGGTAAGTCACTTGGTGGGGAAATCTGGAGTCTTGGACAAATCGACTGGAATCTTCGATCAGAGATGAAGTTTTGGAGAAATAAAGCAGCTGAAATATGGCAGATGGTAATTGTAACAGACAAATAAGCAGCGATCAATTGAATTTAGGTCATAAATGGAATTTTTGTGTAGTTTTTTCGTGCAATATTAAAATTTCACCCGGAATCAGAAGATGGTTGAGGTTACATGTTTTTTCAGCCACTCGAGGTGCTTAACTTGCTGATTCTCACAAAACCCATCGAGCAATTTTTGAAATGGAACTTCTGTGGATGATCTCATGCCATTCATTTTTTTTTTTTCGAAAACATGTTCCTTGCCTTCGCGGGAACTTTACCCGGCTCCTTAATCTTCTGCCCAAATGCACCGACTCCAGGAAGATTCCTCAGTTTGAATTCGGATCCGAATCAACACCCTCGCAAGTTTGGCTTTTCCATCATGTGAAGCGTCTGCGACGATGATATTTTTCTCCAAAAAAAATGAATAATAAGCTGATCTCCTTCCCTTTTTCTTTGGAAGCAGTCTGACACTCACGTCGTCGCTTTCAACGCACTGCCTTAATTCATGGCAGCCCAAAAAATGTGAAGTGGAACGCCTGTAATTCGTATTCCTGATTTGAAGGCATTTTATTTCAAGCCTTTGTGGATTCGTCTAGAATACGAGAATCCCTCGAGGAGCCGGAAAAAGCAAGAAAATCATGGGACAATTTCTAATTATTTTTTTAGAAGTTTTCCTCTTCGCTCAAAGAGGTGAGTAATTTTTAAATATAGAAAATAGAGAAATTTCTTGTTGTTGGGTTGGTTAGAAGTGAACCTAACCAAGTTCAGGTTGGTTTACTGTTAGTCATAACAGTAAAGAATATCTTTGTTGAATAGTTGAACATAGCCAGGTTAAACCTCCCAGAATCAAAAACATCCCTAATTTTAATTTCTCGTAGATTCATTGAAGTTCAATGCGATTTGAAATTTCCTGAAAGACTTTCCCGTGTTACCCGTGTACACTGATACACAAGGAAGTTTCTCGTGTAAAACTGTCATTGACAGTGGAAAAGAATTCGAATTGAAATTTGACTTCAAAAAGCACCATCGAAAACTTCCTTATTTTTTTTTACATAAACTCATCAAAAAATATTAAATTAAATATGGATTTATTTGATGATCAACAAACTTGAAGTTCAATTGTGACTTGTATGTGTATTTTTCTCAAACTTAGTATTTTTTAAAGAAAGAAATGGCTCAGGCCTTGAAACATAGTGTACAATTCTGGACTTTTACCCACTGAACCAGATTTGTGAAATACTGTGAAATCGTTGTTGAACGAAAAAAAAAAACGTTAAAATTAAATTTTCTTACATATTTTTGACTATAACTTGCTGTAAAGCATATTGGTGTGCCATTACGAGAAACAGATCTGCCATTCATTCAAGCAAAAAATCAGTACTGGAACTGGCCAAGCCATTCTCAGCATTTTAAAGTTACAGACTATCAATCCGTATACTGTACTGCTTTTTTTAAGCACTGTTCAGTCGTGCACTGTATTGTGAATTACGGGGAAAATGGGTCCTTGAACTTCTGTGTTCAAAAAATATGCCTATTTTTAGGGCACAGTGTGGTGACACCCAACATTAGAATGCCTGCGTCACCGACCAGCAGCTCTGATTCAATCCTCAACCAGAATTTGGATAGGATTGTGAACCTGATTCACAACCCTGTGAACTCCGGTGGAAGTGCATGGCCAGAGGAGAAAATTGTTGGAGGAACTGAAGTCATCAAAGGTAATCAGTGTCCCATGGAATTGTTTTCATGTACAATATTTGTGGATAAAAAGATCAAATAATAATTCTCTGAATGCTTTGGGATTTGTTGAGGAGTTGCAGAATCGAAAAAGCTAATATCGAACATCAGGAGTGACAGCTGACATCTATCTGTTGCCATGACCACTTCTGTGGAATGTTGGATGCATTTTTGAAGCATATCATCTGAAAGAAATTAAGGATGTGATTTTTCGTGTTCATTTCTTTCAGGAGAGCTGCCATATCAAGTAGCATTTGCATCGAAGAAATCTGAGAGCGAAGATGCGGTTGTGATTTCTTGTGGAGGGAGTTTGATTTCCTCACGATGGGTTCTATCTGCTGCTCATTGTTCTCCCGCATTTCACTCTGGAATGCAGGTAAAATTATCATTTCTTAAGGTAGAATCAAATTTTTCCCCGTTTTATTCTCTAAACGCATTCTAACAATGAATTGAGTTTTGAAGTGACGAGATTCGCATCACATGAAATACTGTGTTGCTGAATTATTTTGCTATCTTCTGCAACTATAATCAATATCTGGAAAGCACGCCTAAGTCCGTAAGTTTCGCAAACGTCGCAGCCTTGAAAAAGTACCGTATATCTTGGAGTTAATTGCAGTGCATAATTGTAGGGATTCAGTTTCCTATTTCTGAAGCGTTTTCTAATTCGTGCCACCCTTGCTGAAAATAGAAAACCTACTTTCCACCCTTGGGGCTCTACCATTTTTAATAATTCGAAGTAAATATTTTAAAAGCATAGAAAATTGCTTTTCATGCCTTGAAGGCTTTTCCGAAAAATATCCTCTTGAAATGGGTAAAATAAACTTGTGCAGCTTTGCTGTAAACTGCTGTACATAACTTCTCTTGTTCCCTTTTTTTTTTTGGCAAACAATCCAAGGAATACTTACATACATACTTACATACTTACCCTTATTTGAAGTTGATTGAAAAATTCTATGAGGAAGGGATCCAACATGCCAAAAAAAATTTGCATAACAGTGCCTCTATGTACAGCGAATATCCGTGAACACATCACCCATAGTACTACATGAATGCGCACCTTATTTAGCCAATTTTGAATTAGCGCTCGTCAAAGGTGAGCATCCAATTCACTTTCCCATTTCTTTCAACCACTCGCTCTAGGTAATTGTTGGTGACCATGACAGACTGACACCTGAGGCCGATGAGCAGCGTTTTAAGATCAAGCAATATTATGTGCATGAAGCTTTCAATTCGGAAAGTCTTCTTCATGACATAGCGCTGGTCATGTTGGATGGACACGCTCGGGTAACTGCGCATGTTGGCTACATCAACTTGCCTTTGAACTCCAAAGAATCACGAGGTATGGTATTCCATATCTCTCTCTGTGTGTGGGTAAATTGAACGGCAATGGACAAATACCCAGCAAGCAATTCGGGTATTCATGAAACCATTTGAAGTAATTTTGAATACATTCAGTGAAGTTTGACCCTGTAATCAATTGCATGAGGATGGTTTCAACCCGTGAGCGGTTGAGTCTGGATTTTAAAAAAAAAAACATGTCTGCCCACGTACAGTACTCACAAATAAAAAATCAACCTGATGTACCAAGCTAAACTATTTTCTATTTTTTCAGGAAAAATGAAATAAATTTCCGAAAAAAATATGGACCTTCATACTCTGTTGAAGAAGAGGAAACTAAACTTTTTCCAATAAATTGTCTCTGGTAGTGGTCAAATAAAAGTACCCAGTTCCTTCGAAAAGCCTCTTAAACTGAGACCTACAATAAGCTGAGGTAAAATCTCTTGAGACGCAGCCGAATCTTTTTATGACAAGGACTTGTGTAACTTTTTCTTCTTCACACCAAATGCTGAATAACCAACAGCTTTTGGGTATTTGTATCTGTCAAACAATTATTTTTTACAATACTTCCGCACAAATTTGAATGGCTTTGTTTTAATTTGATTTTAACTTTAGGATATGCTCTGGTGTCTGGCTGGGGGAGAACAATCTACCAGGATCCGAATTCTTCTCCGGCAATTCTCCACAGGGCTTGGGTGCCACTAATACCTATCCAATTGTGTCAATTCTACTATGTAGTGAAGCAAAGCCAACTCTGTGCTGGTTTCTACCAGGGTGGCAAGGACTCTTGTCAGGGAGACTCTGGTGGACCATTGGTTTGCAGCCCTGAAATGGTATTTTCTCTTTTTCAAATTTTCCCCTTATCATAAAAAAAATCTCTATTAAATTGGTGAGTATGGATTACAGAACAGTATTTTAAATCAAAATTACATATATCATGAAGATGAAAAATCTGGTGGACGGACTTCTCGCCGGAGCTCACATGTGAGCTGCCGAATTTACGCTGCTCCCCCTTCCCCCTGCCTCACTCCCTGAACCCATCACTCTCTCTTTGAAGAAAAATCATGAGAGACTTCAGAAGGACTGTTTGAATAGGTATAAACAGTGTAGTAGGAGAAGTACTATCAACAAATATAAGTAATATTCATTTTTATGAACCTTATGGCTTTACTGAAGGTTCTCTTTTCATTAATCTGATTATAAAAGTTGAGTACATGCAATGAGAAATTGTCTGAATTAAATTTGCTATTAAAGGGTTCTTATATTGTATTTATTCTTATTCATTCTCAATGCTGCCCTTCCTATATGGACATCAAAATTGTTTCTAACAATTCAAACTAGAAATTTGTATGATATAAATGCATACCTTATGAAGTTTTCCAAATATCATTTTTTGATGTGAAATATTCATGATTTATATAGAGTTCACAACCATGCATAATTTGAGTTCATAATTACTAATATTGCTTCATTGATTGATTCCCTGTTTTCCAGTGATGACTTTTTCAAAATATCAGTATTGGTACAGTAAAGTATTTATGAAATGGAATAATCAGAGTAATGAAAAGAGAACCTTCAGTAAAGCCATAAGGTTTATAAAAATGAATATTGATTATATTTGTTGATAGTACTTCTCCTACTACACTTTTTATACCTATTCAAACAGGCCTTCTGAAGTCTCTCATGATTTTTCTTCAAAGAGAGAGTGATGGGTTCAGGGAGTGAGGCAGGGGGAAGGGGGAGCAGCGTAAATTCGGCAGCTCACATGTGAGCTCCGGCGAGAAGTCCACTCACGGAAAAATCTAGATTGCCCATGCTGTGTTCAGCCTAAGATTGTCAGAATCAAATGTTCATGTTTGATATTTACCAAAAATGCATGGGTTGAACGTTGAATGCTTGGCCAAGCAAGCCATATTAACTTTGAGTCTCGAACTAATTTTGAGTGAAATGAAATCTTGTTTAAAGAAACTTTTAATTACCTAATGTGAAATTTTAAATAACATGGCTCAACAAATTCGGAATTTTTCTTAAGTAAAATGTTGACTTCTTCAGATTCATTTTTTCTCGCAATATGAGAAGATTATCAAGCAAAATGACCGAGTCCCCATCATAATACAGAAATGAAATGTGTCTCTCCAACAAGAACAAATGTTCCCCAGAAAATGCTCCAACAGATGTGCTTATCGAAGTAACCAACAATTTTATTTTAAAGAATGAGATTTGGATATCTTGTATGAGCAGAAATTATTGATTCAGAAATGAAAACTTCTCGAAGCCTGATAAATATTGAGGTAACAGCTAGGGAAACCCAAACGGAAAGATCCTTTTGTTTTAATGAATTTTCGATTCGATGTAACAAGACTTCACAGCATTGTTTCTGTGGTGTTTCTTTCTGGAACCATTAACAGATGTTGTTATGATAAATAATTCATGAAAACAGAATCTTCTCAACAACGTAGATTCTTGCATGCGCGAACATTTTCTTGGACGAATTTGAATGTTGTTCAATGACTATTAATTTTTCCCTGAGTTTTCATTCCTTTCAGTCCCTATTGTGGATGATGTGCAGTAATCAATGCAACCATGAAAGGTTAAAACAAGAATGACAGCATTTGTTTGAATCCATAAGAAAGTGTACGAATTTTAATGAATCGCTGATGTTCATTCCATTCTTGCATTCATGAAACAAAATCACTCGATTTCTTTCCAGAATCCAGTGAGCAATGACTCCATGAACCAAAATCAGACCCTGGAACCAAGCAATTTTGCAGCCCTTGAAAATCAGTATCCACCTCCTAAAGTTACTCATCCTGGTCCAGACGCGTATGTTTGTGGCATTGTATCATATGGCAGTGGTTGTGCTTTGCCACAAGCGCCTGGGGTTTATACTAGGGTCGGGTTCTACCTGGACTGGATCACAAACAAGATAACAAAACACACTCTGGAAGGTTTGTACCATTCAACTAATAAATTCGCTCAAATATTGTGGGAACTCTTTGGTGTTTCATGTGTTGTACTGTGACGAAGATCTAATCAGGTACTCATTACAGCAGGAAGTTAGATAAGGACTCTGTTCAATAAATCATAGCTATGCTTACATTTGCAGTGAAATCCCATTACAGTGAATCAGGTTATAGCTAATTTTTTCATAACAACACGTATTTCGGGGTACCAAAAGTTTTCTCAGCGGAATAATTGTACTGTATAATAATCTAGTTTCAAACTTGATTATGTCTTTAATTTTAACTCACATTCACGATTTTTTGTTTTTGCTTGCAAAAAGAATTTGCGAACTTCCTTAAATTGTGTTCCATTGAATGCTCACAGAGCAAGAATAAATGGGAATGTTTTTGTGGATCGCATATTCTCCCCGGAAGATTTCAGTTTAAAATAAGCTAGAAGCCTTGTAGCAATACATGTGGACTCTCTCTAAAACCATCTTGGCTAGAACGGTATTCTCTGTATAACGATTCAAGTTTTAATCCCATAGAGTTCTCACCCCATGTGATGATAAAATTCTTTCTGAAGTTATTTTTTACATTCCCGTGAATTTTTTTCTAGGGAGCGCACCTGCATTGAAAAAATTAAATCCCTCTAATTCATGAAATTGCCGTCCATTCATTCGTGCTTTTCCTAAATGAAATTTATGCTTCAAGTTTTTACTGTACAGCTATATAATTTTCTTGAAACATTTTAGAAAATCCATGAGAAGGGTCAAAAGCAGGTCTACGTAAACTTGGAAAGCTTCTGTGTAATCCAATGAAGAAAATCCCAGAAAAATAGCTGAGTTTGATTAATCATTCGAATTATGTGTAATTGACGTATCAAAAGAAGGGTTTTTCAGCACAAGGTGACTTCCCTAAAAAATCAAGAATACTTACACTGATTTTGAAAATACTTTTATTAAGGGTGTTACTATTCGTTGGATTGAAAAAATCGAATGAAAATATGTTTTCGGTTGTATTTTTCAGAAGACAAGCTGAATTCAACAGCCGCGAGGCTTGAGACAGGTGAATATCACTTTTGAAATTATTCGCTTATCTTGAAAAGTTTAAAATTTTAATAAATTCTCAATTCGCCTATGTTTCCTATTCTTAATTGAAGAACCTTATCAGTTCATGGGTGTAGTGGACACGGAGGACTTCAAGAACACTCTGCATTGCGTTGGGGTCCTTGTGCATCACTACTACGCTCTTACATCGGCGGAATGCTGCAAGAATTCCCTAGGACGACTCAGTCAATTCCAATGTCATAAAGTGAGTGAGGGAGTGATTCAAAATTTATCTGCATTTTCCCCATGACACATTAGTTTGTCAACTATGTCTCATGCATTGTGTTCTGCACTCGAAAGTTGATGGTAATGTGGTTGCGTCAAAGTTTGGCCTTCAAAGTTTTTTTCTTTCTAATATGTCGTTGACCAATGTACAATAATTGCATTTACATCACCTTTGAATGGAATTTTTTTTCTTCAATGTTTAATTTTGAGTAAAGATGGGCTATAAAAAAATTTGCAGAGCGAGGTGACAATTTCATTCAAACGGAAGTTTTTTTTCTCCTCGATTATGAATGTTGGATACCCAGATTTTAGCTTCTGAAATATCGATTCAATTTTCGCAGTGTAAAAGTTTTGAAGAACTTATCACTATATTGATTTTTCGCTTCAATTTAGTTGTGAAAACTTGTTCCTCCATTTTCATTCAATTTGATTTACTCTAGCATTGTTGTTCGGGACATTTGAAATATTTCATATAATAGTACGCTGAAATATTTTGGTTGCATGAACGGTAAATTATTATAATAATGTACAAAGTTTGGTGAAGAAGAAAGGAGCAAACTTTCCTAAGTAGCGGAACTGACATTTTTCTTGCGATTTCCAAGTGTGACTTAAGTTCAAGTTGGAAAATATGCCGCATAATTTAAGCTAATGTGGCCTAGTCGCGAATAACGAATTCAAGCAAAAATCAAACGAAGGCCGCATTCTTAAAACGAATGATGTGGCCTATTCTCGGGTCGATTATACAGGCCGCACCACGGTTTAAAAACGAAATTTGTTTAGTGGAAAAGTGCAGCGTGTACTGTAGTTCCATAAATGTGTTATTTTGTGCCCGCAGATTGCCTTTGACCGAACGAAGAACACCGAGGGATCGCAGAATAACTTTCGAGTCGCCCGTGTGTCTGTGTACGACCAGAATTGGCTTTTCCGCAAAGTCTCCAAGTAATTTCATTGTCGGTAAATTTGAAGAAAAAAATATTGACTCAAATATTTGTGCATTCTTTGGCGATTCAGAAGCAGCAAGGCGAAAGTGACGCCAAGAACTGCATCACGGGGTTCAACTGACGGATCTGTTGCTCTGCTGAACCTTTTCGGAATACCCAGGAAGAATTTCATATTCCCTGCTAATTTCCCGAAAATGATCATCAAGGATGGTGAGGATCATTCTTGAAAAGGCCTTTTCTTAGAAAGTACTCCGATCTGCTTACTGAATCACAGTCTACCATTGGTTATAAAGCCTAACATATTCCAGAACGACAGGCTTTTGCGCAAAGAGTTAGTTAACTTAATTCAATTTTTTGATAGACTTTAACGCTGTCTATATATCGATGTTTTCCGCATTTCATCCTACGAAACCGCTAGTTATGTCACCCTGGGTTTCGAGAAGTACTACGTGGGTTCGATCACCTAAAGTCTAACAGATGTTAATACGTTTTTGATAAGAGTTTATAAAACGTTACTCTAGAAGTGTTGCCGTGGATGCACTATGTCTGGATGACAGGATAATTTTTGTTTCAAAATTTCGAGATATTGAATTGTCCAAATACTGCTGGATTACCATTTCACTGCACGGGAAGCTTGATAATGAGAAAATGGGTGGCATTGACTGACCGAAACTCTGAGCTTCATGTGTGATCGTGATAGGAAATAATTATAATCTTCGCTGTATAAATTCGCCAATAATATTTCAAAATGCTGGTAGACGAGAAAGAAAACCACTGTACTTGATGAAGCAAATCATGAATACGTACATTGATATAAGCAGTCGAAATTTGTTGATCGGATGAAAATCAATGGAATCTAATGGAAATTAAAAGGAACGGATGAATGAATTGACATTTAATCATAGAGTGCAAAATCCCTCAAATTTGAGATAATTTGAGTTTCTGTTCACCTCTTTTGAAAATTGGAATGAACAGGGGACAAGGCAGTCTTGGTGTCACTCCGGAATGATACCACGAAAGTTGGACGAGTGGAGCATATTTTTGGGCATTATAGAATCATGGATTGTCCTGTGGAGTTGTTTGGTCCATCGAAAAAGTTCAATTTCACTGCAGATGACGTGATTTGCGCAGCTTACTTGGAAGGACTCAAGTGTACTGTGAGTATAATTTTCCTTCTTTCATATATAACCTGAGTAAAGACAAAATGAAGTAAAACTACGTTTAGGTGAACCTTCTACACAAGGAATGAATAGTTCAGAAGGGATTGAGTTAACTTCTGGCCCACAGGGACTTTTACATTCCGGTTAAAAACGCGGCCCTCTAATAGCAATTTAGAAGCTGCATTTGGTTTGTTTGTTTGACTTTTTGCACAGTTCAGTATTTTTATGAACGAAACAGAAATGGTGAAGTAATGTGATCAAACATGTGTAGGATGCCGTTGGCGGCAGTGCCTTGATGTGCAGATCGAAGGACGCATACAATAACGGAGCCCTAGATGACCAGAGCTTCTTGTGTGGCATGAAAACCAGTCTGGGTCGTGCCCGGGGTTCCTCACCAACACTCAACACTGTGGCCTTTGACGTGCTTCCGCCCAGTTGGCAACTTGTTTTACTTCATTTTGATGCAAATCCACTTGGAAGATGTGTTCCTTACTTATCAAGTCTTCCCTAACTCAATTGAAGACCGGGTGTCCCTGAAAATGTAAGGCCAATTTTTGCGCCGGGAGATTATACAATTTAGAAGCTGCATTTGGTTTGTTTGTTTGACTTTTTAATTGTAACACCGGAAAAGTTTTTTAAAATTAATTTTCAGTCCGTATTGGCGATGCAAGAAACTTTAAAAAATATTGTGAATTTTTTCAAGGAATTAGCAGATAATTTTTGTACATTTTGAAGTAAAGGTAAAATCTGTTTCTACAGCAATCTTCTTCACTACTTCGATCTTTTTTATTGCTCCCGTAGCGTTTTCTCACCGGTCCCTTGAATTTAGTTGTTGAGAAAATCCACTTGTACTAGCCTCCTGAATGTTAGGAAACAGTGCACAGTTCAGTATTTTTATGAACGAAACAGAAATGGTGAAGTAATTTGATCAAACATGTGTAGGATGCAGTTGGCGGCAGTGCCTTGATGTGCAGATCAAAGGACGCGTACAATAACGGAGCCCTAGATGACCAGAGCTTCTTGTGTGGCATGAAAACCAGTCTGGGTCGTGCCCGGGGTTCCTCACCAACACTCAACACTGTGGCCTTTGACGTGCTTCCGCCCAGTTGGCAACACAGGGCCAGCGAAGTTTGCTTATTTCGCAAAATATACGTGCCGGAATTCATCTCGGACCATGGCAGCATCTCTTTGGCGGACATGATGGCCTTCCGAGGCATCTGGCTTCCGCAAATTTGATGGTGTTCTTCCCGCTTAGGCAAAATCTCACTGAGGGGAGTACAGTGTTACGTTAAATAGTAGGTGCAGTCTCTCAAAGTAAAACATTGTTTGAAATCTTTCACGGGCAGAAAGGGAAGGCATCAAAAGTTGGCCAAGAAATATTAGCCGTAACAAGTAAGAAAAAAACGATAATTTAAAAGAAATTAAAAATGTTTGCCTCCTGAACGATTCGAATGTAAGCAGTTCTCCAAAGCACCTATTGGTTAAAGAGGCATTTCTTGGCTGAAATGGGGGTCAATGTATCCCTCCCCTCATCCCCCCCCCCTTTCCCCTGAAGTTTCCTTACTCAGAATGAATTTTCGTATTGATAATAATTGAGAAAATGTTGTACGTGTAAAGCTTAATTTTATTCGCGAGAAGCGACCATGTCCTTAGAATTTCAATGAATGAAACCGTGCCACATTCCTCTATGCGGAAAAATCTTTCATTATTGCTTCTTCAATCAAGCGCAAACGCGAAGGCCCGAAACTTCCCTCCCTCCGAAATCGAACTTCCCTTAGATCACGCCTGAATTCGCATCTGAAAAAAAACTCTTAAAAAAAATAATAATTACGACTCTCCCAAAAAAAATCACTCGTCATTCGCGAGTAGTACAGGGAGCACACTTCAGAAAAGAAAAAAAAACCTGCTGCTCTTTTCCTTATTTCAGAAAATCACAGAAGGGTGATACTTGTATCTCACAGATCACGTATCAATTAAAAACAATATTAACAAAAAACGAGAAGAAAACTCTGATTTCAATCCAACATCAGGAAGCCAAAGTCACTGTCCAATCGGTCCCCTTTATCCAATTCCGCGGTTTTCTTTGACGCGAGAGAGCAGCATAGTTGTTATAACCCCCTCCCCCCAAAAAAAGACCCATTTTAGCTCTACGTTAGCCGCGATTGTGAACAGAAGCGGTGTATGGGCATCCAAATTCCTACTATGAAAAATCGAGTACCAAACATCACTTCCCAGAAGCATGCCATAGAGAAGAAAATACCTTTCCTCCACTTATTGGGGTGTCAAATCCAAAAATTCCTTCTCCACTTAATCCCCCCTCGCACAGCCCCACTTATTTGGATTATCATCCCATTCGTTTGCAATTGCCACAATGAATGAGGCAACTGCAACATTGGGTTGTGGAAGCCTCGTTGTTGAGGCATCCACTGAACAGGGATTCCCCGTCACTTCCAAATAACATTCCGAACAGTTTCCTTTTATCTTTCCCAAGAGACCCTGACTATTGAACATTCTTGTCCATTCAACATCTAGTGTTTTTGTTCTGAGAAAAATAAATAAATAAGAATTTGACGAGAGGCGTCTTTTTTTCGGGGGCAACACGGGAATTATATACGTATACAGCATGACAATAAAGGTCTCATCAGTTTCGTCTCCTGCCCGGCGGCGGCCCTCGGTGGTCTCTGTCACGGATGTCCCGATCCCGCCGTCCACCTCCTCTAGCTCCCATCATCTCAATGCCGCCGCCTCGGTAATCTCGATCTCCGTTGGTGCTACCCCAATCCGCAGCAGGATCTAATCCATTGTCGGGGTTCATCCAGTCTCCCGCGAATGTTGGGCCGGGTTGCTGCTGCCACGCTGGCGGTAGTGGTCCACCTCCTGCTCCTGGTCCTCCAACAGAGGGTATGAACCCAGGCCAGGCCGGTGGGCCAGGTCCCATGAGTCCAGGCCCAACGTTGGGACCCATGACCACGTCCGGGAATCCACGTGGCGGCATGCCATAGTTGTTACCACCGGGACCCGCAGATACCGGGGTCGCCGTCATATGAGGCATCATAAATGGCATCATCATCGTCGCCGGCTGGTTGCCGCCGAAACCCCCGGCCGTCGCAGTCATTTGCATCATGTCCATCTCGGTGGCCGTCGCCATGGGCATGACGGACGACGACGCGGCGCTGTTACTGACGGCGGACGCTCGCATCGTTCTCGGATCCAACATTTGTTGGGGCTGCTTGTCGTCCTTCATCCCAATCCGTCGCCGCGGGTCGTTCCTCGCCGGCGCCGCGGGTCTCGGAGGAACGGCTGTCGCAGGTGCTGATGGAGTGGCGGTGTCGGAGTCATCTATCGCCATTGCCGTCGCCGATGATGAGACGGGACTCGCGGGGCTTTCCAGGTCCCGCATGCCTCTCGGAGAGTCGCCGGCCGACGACGACGTCCTCCTTCTTCGCTGCTGCTGCTGCTGCAAGCGGGGGTCCAACTGGGCCTGGGCCTCGGACAACCCCATGGTGCCTTCGTAGGCCGTCGCAAACTTGGGCAGGTCGAGGATGAGCAGCAGTCGGTAGGGGATGCCCGGATGCGAGTTGAAGCCAGCCTCGATTTCCTTGCACGGCACGTGATCTGGGGCAGCGGTGAAGAGGAGGCCGAGTTGCAACTTGCTGGTGGCGGCGGCGGCGGTTGGGGTACTGTTTGTGCCAGTACTGGCAGCGTCGAGCAGCTGGAGCGGGTTGAGTCGCAGAGCCGCCTCGGCGCCGTCGCTGGTGCTGCTCAAAGATCCCAGCTCGTCCAGTTTGGCAAATGTGTCCTTGAGGAGGGCCTTGTTTCGATCCCGGTCCCTACGGTTACACAAATGCCTGCGCATGAATAAAACGAAATTCTCCACCTTATCAAATATTATTTTAAAGAAAAATTTAATTTCAAAGAATTTTGTTGTAGCACAAGTATCACAAGCTTTCGCCGGGTCCCCCAGTTCCTGCATAGGGGCTATGATATAGAATTTTCAATACTGTATGATAAACTATATTGCCTTAATGGTATTGGCCATGAGAAATCATTTGAAAATTGGCAGCGTACTAAAAAAGATCCAACTTGCGCAGCATTACAGTGTAGAACTCCGCAGAGGTAAAATAAAGCAGGTTTCATTCAACTTACTCAGCTGTGGGCTTTTCTTTCCTCGTCACTCCCAGGAGTCCACCGGGTAAGTTGAGTAGCGATGCCGGGATGTTGATGGAAGGCGAGAACTTTGGCACTTTAGCCTGAAAAACAAACAACAAACAAAATCTGGTAAGACTCTACAGACAGGAAGTGAAGGTTAATAAAATGCCACGATTCCCATGACTACGAACAACATCCTCAGTAAACCAGTTTTCTCATCCCCTTACACAATTATACTGACTTGTATACGAGGGATCGAGACAGACCGATTGAGACAGGGCCAATTTTTGACAAACTTTTTGAGATAACATGACCTGGCTGTGTTCCTCCCTATTATCTCATGTTTTGCCTCAATTTGTCCATATCCTGTACACAAGATAACCCCCTCATACACATATTTTCGCATTGATTCTACCAATTTACTGATGCAAAGAATAACTCGATTGGACAAAGATTTATGTTCTGCTCCTGATTTAAACAGAGAATAGTATACTGCAATAAATAAGGACTTCATTGATTTTGTTGACGAAACCACTTATTTACTGACTATTTATTGTAGTACACTAATTCCTGTTTAAATCAAGAGGGCGGGCAACATTGGTGAGCATTAAATATTTCAAAAATATTAGTGCGAATTTTACTTGATCGCAAATGGAAATATTGGACCTATTTCAACAAGCGAATTAAAAATTGAATTCAATTTAAATTCAGGTTCAACCAAAGTCTGAAATTCTTTCAAGCAAGTGATGTTTTTTAATAACACAGCTTTTTCGAGGACTCATGTCTTGTCGCAATAATATTCTACGGTAAATTTCTTCCGTATGATTTCCTAGAGAAAAGTTCGAATGACATTGTGGCTATTGCTAAAGAAGCTTTCAAATGTTTTCTTCCGCTTTTAAAAATGCGTAATAAAAAAAAATACGTGTGTTCTTTCATTTTGCGCATTTTTAAAAACGAAAGAAAAAAATGAACGAGTCAAAAATGATACAGGTGGACTCTCTCTACAGCGATTTTCTCAGTACGAGGATTCATTCTTTGATCCCGTAGGATTCTCTCCACATGGTACAGGTAAGCCTGTACCGAAGTTTCAAGGACCAGAAAAAAGCCTCGTTGTAAAAATAATTTGGTATAGTAGAGGGAGTCAACTTGTACAGTAGTTCATTCTCAAGCTATGATGCTAAGTTATTATTAAATGGAATCACGGACGCTGGAAACTCACTTCATCACGAAGTTTGGACACCATGTCGTGGATGTTGACAGACGGGGAAGACGACGACTTATTGACATTCTCAGCACCACCGGCTGCCAGTTTCCTCCTCGGGTCGCCTGATCGCTGCTGCGCCGGCCCTTTGCCATCGTCCGTGGTGGGCGGTCGTCGTCTCGCCAGTTCCGAGGCTTCTTCGTCGCTGCTGTACCAATTCTCGTCCGCGTTGTCCGGCACTGGAGTGCTGCCGCCTCGGTCGTCATCATCGTCGCTATTGCTGCCCTGTGAAGCAAAGAATAAAATGATGACTGTTTTTCAGCAAAAGAAAAACAAAGTGGCCCTTGATTCGACTTTATTTGTCGTGCTTTATCTTTCACTTGAACCTCACCGAGCCAAATTTCAAGGGACCAGCAACAAATAATTTGACTCGGCGAGGTTTGAAGTTTGAGTTAGGGAAACCTGCATTTTCGTTGGAGGGGGGGGGGGAGAATTACAGGAAATTTCAATTGGTGATATTCTGCGCTTTAAATAGGTATTCAAATGAGTTGACAGAATGCTGAACGTGGAGGCAGGGGTCCATTTTCCCAATTAATCTTTCACTTCTTTTCAAAGAACACTAAGTCACATTTTTAATTCTGATCTCTTCTCTGTGTCAACAACATGGAGTCAGACCCTATTGCATAAATCTCCTCAATGTTAAATACTGCAGAAAATTTCTTCAAGACGCCAACTGCCAAGGTGAAACAGAAGCACAGTTCTGATACTTCTGAATTAGTTTTGTCTACTTCTGACTACCCCAGTTTTGTCTAACGCCAAAATTGGGGTAGTAATATGCTTTCTGTCTAGTATCTCGCATTTCTATAAGAAAAAGTTTGAGAATGTCTATTCCTTCAAACAATAGGTACACCTAAATTGAAACTTCAGATGAGTGTAATGGAATAAAATTTATTTTCTGAAAAAGAATTCAATCACAGCAAATCTCCTAGGACAACTTCCCAAGTTTCTAGAAAATGCGGGTTTCTTCTATTCTGAATGAAAATCAATTTAATTTTCAAAATGAACTCTTCGATAAACCGCCAACCCCTTCAAACCGTCGAAATATTCTCTAGATTAAGGGTGGCGTCTTACTGAGGTTTGAAGGTAATAGGTGAAAGGCCGAGAGAAAATTCGAGTTGCAGAGGTTCGAATAAGGGAAAGGCTCTTTAATCACTTTTTTTTCTAAGGGACTTCAGACAGTGACTTGAGAAAAAAATTCGACATTGGGAGGTATTCGTTTCATGGGGGTTCGATTAATCAAGGTTCAAATGCATACTGACCCTGTGGGATGGTCGATCAGATTCCGTGAAAGAATTAGCAACAGGGGACGACGAAGACGCCGGGTTCTGGTGTTGCTGGCGTTTGATCCGGAGGTACAGGTCCTTCTGGGCAGCCGGCAGTCGGGCCAGCATCTCCACATCCCTCTTGGTCAGGCCAAGACGGGCTATCTCGTCGTCTGACATCGTCGTCTTGACCTTCTTGCTCGCCGGCTCATCGTCATCTTGATCGTCAGCAGTCGCAGCCATCACGTGCTGGCCCTCATCCGACGTCTTCCGTTTCCTACTGCCCATCGTCAATGACGGCGACGACGACTGCTGCTCACCCGGGCCTTCGTCGATACACAGCCCGTCCTTTTCTTCTTCTTCATCGTCGTCGTCGTGATGCGGGTGGGCACCATCACCAGTAACGGCGGCTGTTGTTGCGGTGGCAAACGGGGCAGCGATGAGAGGCTGCTCCGCAGCAGGCCAGCCGTCCCCGTCGGGCCGTCGGTAGTCGACGTCACCGCGGGACCGAATGTCCGTGTCCTGGGCAGGGGTAGGGGCAGTGGATGATGCAGCTGGGGTCTCGTCCAACATGCTGAGTGCAGTTGACGAGGATTGTTCGCGCTGCGCTTCTACAGCAGCTACGATGGCCTTGGCGCCCTCTGCCGTCATCCGGGGGAAGTCTCCGAGAATGTCTTTGGGCGCTGTTTCCAAATGCTGGAAGAAAATTGCAACAATGGTTTTTGCTGAAATACACATACCGTACATGAAAGCGACATTATGTAAAGTCTACTTTGTGTATGTTATTCTTGAAGAAAGGTCAAGAATATGTGATACTGCTGACGGGACACATGCAAGAATCTTAATGGAAGACACAGTCATTAAATTTAAGGTTTGACAAGTTTTGTCAATTCTCCATTAATAGCCGTCATTACAGATCATTTCTAATGCGTAATTGAGTTCAAGAGAGTAAATAATCAAGTTATCCCTCTAAATCTCGGTTTATTCTGCCCATTTTGAAATTCAGTTAAATCTAACTGACAATAGAACCTACCAAATTTGGAAATTTCCTCTTTTGCCTGGATTTGAACAAACAGTATATCTACTGTATATCAGAAATTTGAAAAGGGCAGACAGAGACATGAGAGGAAGAAGGGAAAAAAAGCAGCAGTATATACAGGTAGGCTCTTGTAAAAAAAAAATTCTCTCTGCATCACAGTTGAACCTCTTCCTGAGTCTTTTTTTTTTCAAATCTCTGTCTAAATCCCCTTAGAAGTTAAGTATTAAAAACCTCTCAAACATGAAGGCTTTTCCTCTCCAACCTTTCCCACTCAAATTTTCACAGGCTTTTTGGCTATTATTTTTCTGATACAGGGAAAAGAAAATCAACAAGTTTAACTTGATGTGTTTCAAAAGTAAGACTTATTGAGCAAATGAACCATTGCATCCAACCTCAGCATCTTGTCAACTCATTCAAGAAGCAATTTCAGGCCCAGAATATTGCCCATCACAAATTCTGGAAATTCTTCCATCTTTCCCACAAGCAAAAATGCTTGTTTCCCCTAACTAAAAACCTTCCTCAGTCAACATTTTTTTCTGGTCCCATGAAATTTGACTCGGAGAGCTTTGACTGATAACCTTCTTGTTGATCCCATAGGGTTCTCTCTATAAGGACTTTTGAGAGTCCACCCGTGTGCACATTTACAGTGCACACTCTCTACAACGAAGTTCCAAGAACCAGAAAAAATATATAAACCGAATATACAGTACTGTATATATCTTTATGCACATACCCTGAGAAGCACGGCTCGGGTGATTTCGTTGAGCGGTTTGTGGGAGAACTTGCACTTCTCAGCCGTGGTGCATTGGGCCCCGGTGTGGTAGAACTTGCACGGGAAGTTCTTGTGCATATACAGGCACTTTTCCTTCTTGGCACAGCAGTCGAGCATGTAGAACTTGCACAGCTCGTTCTTCCTGGGCGGCACTGCGTCGTGCGAGTACGGACAGTCATCCCCCTGACATAAGTACGTTGGATGAAGAGGAAAAAGAATCCAAACGCAAATTAGCAACAATTGAACCCGATCCAATTCAATACTCCTATTCGTAGAATAATTTTACGAAAAACCATCAAGTCTCCGGTTTTCTGAGGGGCAAAGTCACGTATTTCTACCAATAATCATATATATTTGTACCGTACACGATAATGGAGTTTCTCTCCTTCTCCATAATGACACATACGAGCCAATGCATCTTGGATTCACAAAAGAGAGAGAGAGAGAAATATTCTCATTTACAATCAGCATTACAAATTTTAAAAACACACATTTATGACACTTGCCCTCTGACATTTGCCAGCCATGTGATAGGCGCAGATGTCGGACTTGCTGCCGCCGTTGGTTCGGTCCGCAGCACCGCCGCCACGGCGCTCCCACAGCAAATCACCGTCACGATCCCGATCCCTGTCGCGATCTCTATCCCGATCCCTGTCTCGGTCCCTGTCCCTGCTCGGCCGTCGCTCCCGTCCGCCCCGATCTCGATCCCGGTCTCTGTCCCTCCTCACGGCCGCTCCGCCCGCTGCAGAAGAAGAAGATGATGATGATGGCGGTGGACGAGAGTCACGCGAATGCTGGCGGTTCCGATCCCGGTCTCGGTCCCTGTCCCGCATTCTCCGATCACGATTGTTGTTGTTGTCTCCTCCTCCTCCTCGGCCCCCGCCACGTTCGCGGTCTCTCATGTCCCTGTCGGAACGACGCCAAGTATTGCCGGTAGCTGGACTACTGGCCCGGCGTCGCGAAGCTGAGGGACTACTGTAGCGTCCGCCGCCGGACTGCTGCTGCCTATCGCTCCAACTGTGTTGAGAAGACCGGGGACTCGCGGGATCTCGGTCTCGTCTGCGCAACGCGTAACGCTCGAGTTCGTCGTCTTCGTAAAATTCTTCGTCTTCTTCATCATCATCACGACGCCTTCGTTCCGATGCCGACGATAATAACCTTCCGCCGTCGCCGTCATCACCGTCGACGTCGTCGTCCATTTCATGCCCCGCACGACCGGCGTCGTTTCTCCTCCTCCGCCGTCGTCTTCTCACTCTGCCTCCTCTTCCTCTCATCCCCGCAGGGTGCAGTGATGGCGAATGGGCGCCACTACTACTACCACCACCTCCACCGCCGCCCTCTAGCACACCGACGTCGTCGTCGTCATCGGCGGCGGCTTCGTCGCCATTCCGCGATCCACCGTCGTCTTCGTCATCTTTGCCGCCACTGCCTCCGTCCTTATCCTCGTCGTCATCTTCTTCTTCAATGCTGCCCATCTTCAGAAGCTTGCTCTTACTTCTCTTGCTCTTCTTTTTAGTGTTCTTCCTCTGCTGTTGCAGGAACTGCTCCACCTTGAGCAGCTCGGCGTGGTAGTCTTCGTGGTAGTGGTGGGATGGCGCTCCGTTGTTGACACCGCCGGTGGCGGGCGGTGGAGAGGCGCCGCGCACATACAGCATCTCGTCGTCGTCCTCGTCCTCTTCCGCGATGATGGCGTCTTCGTGCAGATGGCCGTTGAGGTCGGGGATGGCGGCAGGATCGGTGTTCCCGTTGGCGGCCCGCATGGCCAATAGGAGGCCCTGGGCGTAGGCTGCTTGTTGGGCCTTCAGTTCCTCCAGCAGGGCCAGGGCGTCTTCCGGCCGCACGTCCGTCTGGTCCTTGCGGTGCTTGTGATGCTTTTCTCGCTTCGACTTCTACAACATCAACACAAATATCACTTTATGCTTCGAAATTGTATCAATATTTGAAGAAGAAAAAAAAGGTTTTGAACATTTTCATTCATGAAATGAATTGAAATTGAAGTCTGCTGCTTCGCTCAGTTCTTGCGGAAGTTTCAGATTACATCGTGTTTGGTTTTTTATACTGACAAATAAAAAATGACAAAAATAAATTGTGTAGCAAAAAATTCAGAATTTAGAAGTGGGTAAAAATGTGAATATAAATTTTGAACCTAATTACCCTGCTCATATCGTATCCAAAGATCAATCTAATTAGTAGGGTGTCAAACCAGTGAAATTTTCATTAAAAAAAATCTCTATACACAGGGCGTCCAAAAAGTTGTGTAGGATATATATTATTCAAGTAATTTTTTTTTCTTTCCAAAAATCGAATACAGTACTGTATTAAACATCAAACAGATGAACTGTTATAGAGTATTGTTTATATAATGCACACTTTCAGCCTCACATTCTGCAGAAAACTATCTCCAATTCAGCAAAAATATGTGGAAGCCCCTTTTGACTTCACAGCACAGTGCTGCTTTTTTCAGACTTCTCCAGTCCTCATTTCCAGCACATTAATATGTAATTGGATGAGTAGATGCATTTTATTGAGAATACGTAACTTTCAACAATAAAATGTTGGCAAATGTCATGAATTTTACAGTGTCAGTGAGTTGAAAGGTGCAGACACTTGCCAAGAAGCTAAAATTTAAAAAAAAAAACCGTATTTTTATGGGCATCCAGCTCATGCATGCATATCATAAATCATGCTAGCTTCATATCAAATTTTACCTCATACTCGCATTATTCACAAAAATAAATTCACTGATATTTCTGACCTTCTTTAATCTTGTACGTAATGTACTACATTAAGATAACTTCTGACATCACAGTGGAGTTGGACCTTGGCAATTCAAACCTATATGACTCACAAACCTTCATAATTCAAATTGTCAATCAATTCTGGCAGATTACCTGACTTAAAATGCGATCTATGGGCCTCCCTCAATCAAACTTTGTGGGGTAAAACATCCCTTAGTCTGAAGCAGTTTTATGGTTAAATTGGGACTACTCTTTTGAACTAGCAAGAAAAATTGGAAAACAGGTGCAAGCTATTTTTGGTATGCTATCCACAAGCATTATACTGACCTGCAGCTGGGACATGAATAATGAACAGTTCAATTTGGGCAGAAAGAAATTTCCACTCTTCAACCAACCAAACTGGAGTCAAATTCCCTAACTCAACAATTTATCTGTGGCACTTGTTTTTGGTTTATCCTTGAATTTGACTGTATTAATATATTCTACTGTGGATGGCTAAACAGCAGAGATCTATCCAAGATTCCAAATACTGTATTCAAAAAAATCAGAAATAACATCTTTAATTATGTCTTTTTTTATCTTGAGGCATACATAATGGGACATACAAGTCCTCTCCTTTTTGATGGTACAACAAACTTCTTGATGCTTCCCTTATTCCTTATATACTAACCTTTTGTTTATAATTTATTGCAGTAGCCTAGCGTATGATGTCAATGCCCTGCAAATCACAGGTTGGAATTTTAAAATGATACAGTTGAACCTTGATAACTCAATCCTCCCTAAATCAAATGTTTTCAAGTCCCTGTTAAATTCCCCTAGGAACAATGTATTAAAAGCCTTCCTAACTCAAAGATTTGTTCTCTCAAACCTCCCCAACTCCAATTTTTTGGAGGCCATTTGGCTATTTTTTCTTGACACAGGAAAGAGAGAAGCAATAAAAACAAAACTTGATGTGTTTTGAAAGGAAAGGAAAGAATAAATCGGGCAAATTTAGTCCCTGCCTCCAAGTTCAGCATCCTGTCAACTTAACTTATTCAAGATACAATTTAATGCCCAGAATATAAGCATATGCAATTTTGTGCAATTCTGTTTCCCACAACAAAAATGCTTAGTTTCATTACTCAAGCCTCAATTAATCAAAACCTCCATAAGTCAAGATCTCCAGAAGTCAAATTTTTTGGTGGTTCCTTGAAATTTGACTTACAGAGGTTCAACTGTATTCATGTGGGAATTTATCATTTTGGTGCAAAAGGGTGAAACTATAGAGTTGACTTTGTAATTGAGTTAATTTTCACAAAAAATGCATGGTCTATTTTTACGCCAATGCTCTGAAAATTACAGATTGGGAACCTCAGGCTGATTTTAATTCAGCCATTATGTAGGGCTCTATTGTGTAAGTGCAGGTTGCAAAAACTGTGGGTTTGACTTCGTACTAAAGTTCATAATTGTACGCAAATAATAGCGTAAATTTTTTTGTCGTGATGCCACGTGTATAAAAGGAAGGAGAAGAGGATAACCTTTTTCTTCTTTTTCTGCTGCAACTGCTGCAATAAGTCGCCGGCGTCCAGCAGAGGACGTCCCTCGCCGTCCACGAGGCTACCGACCATCAATTCGCCAACCACGTTGTTCTTGCTGTTGTCGTCGACGCCACCGCGGTCTTCGTCCTCTTCCTCATCATCCTGCACCGATCGCTTCTTCTTCTTCCTGGACTTTTTCTTCTTGCCGCCCACACCAGTCAGCAGATCCGCAGAGTTCATGATGTCCGTCATCTCCATCATCATCATGCCCTGCTGTTGCTGGGCCAAATCTCCGGCGTCTTTCTTCCCGTCGGCGGCGACGACGACGTCCCCGGCCGGCTGGTCCGCCGGCAATTCTCCCTCGTCGCTCAACTCGCCCTCCTCCAAGTCGGACGCCATGGACGGCGGCGCCACGCTGGCAACCTCCACCATAATTGAGGATCTTCAAATGGTTCTTCTTATTTTCCTACTTCAGTCACGGCGGAAACCGGATTTCAACATTCACAAATCAAGGTGTGAAGAGTTTCTAGAAGCTCGCCGCAGGTGTCATAATATTTCCAGCAATTACACATGCCTGCTACAAAGAGAAACGCATCAATATGGCGGCATCTTGTGCATAATCATGAGGGGAGGGGGAGAAGGAGGAGATTGCTTCCCGCGGTCTGGCACTTCCATGATGTGACACAGCGCTTCCGCATACCGCAGTTCAGAACAGTACAGTATGCGCTAAACATTCCCTCGCAATTGAGACCATATGACGAATTAATTTATTCCTCGGACAATGGCCCATAGAAATCGTGGGGCACTCCCCAAACTTCTAGACATCAGCGTTTGCTTCATGTTTTTCTACTGCAGTTGCTTACAGAAGCCAGCATTGGACAGAAATGACAGTTTAGCAGATAATGTACTTGATTACCTCTTGATACAAAATAATAATGGTACAGTAAAAGATTCAATTCCAAAAAATGTTCCCACTCTGTTCGGTATCAATGTATAGTACACTTGGGCCTTGCTAAGTAGAAGCTTTCTGCATCAGGAAAAATCATCATGGTAATTTTTGTTTAGTTATCCTAACAGAATTCAATCAAGAACAATGTCATAGTCAGATATAGACCTCCCTAAATTAAAGTCCCCCCCCCCTAAAATCTCCAAATTTGATTTTCAAGAGGAGTGACTAATTGGGAAAATGTATCATTACCTCCAAGAGCAGCATGCTGTCAACTCATCTACCCAATAGTCTGAGCCCAGACAATCACAATTTTTACCTGCACATAATTCTTCATTTGTTTTTTCAACAATGCTGAATGTTCTTTACGAAATCAAAAATTCTAAGTCAATTTTGTGGATTCCTCCGGGCTCATTTTGAAGAGTTTTGTCTACACAGTAATAAGATTACTTGCCCCTACAGAACCGGTTACCATATACAGTACGTCAAGACTTCACCAAATTTACTTAATACAATGCCTAATCATATTGGTACCTGGAAATTGGGCAACACAAATAATTCCGGACGAACTTTAGGGACATAACAATATACTGTAAATATAAGGAACCTTTTCCCTTCACCCCACACAGCTTATTCCCCCAAGACAGAAATGTTCTCCCAGTTCTGTATAGTCTTCCAAGCGCCATACAGCATACCAACATATGGGAGTTCCTTCAATTGTGTTATGACAGCCTGTATTTACGCGACTATAGATTAACTGTGTCATTATCTGCGCAGTATTCATTCTGAGGAAGGGCATTCAATGTTCAACACTGATTCACCATGATCTGAGAAAAGCAAATTATACCTAATACAAAATAAGATCAAGTGAACTTGCAAGTTTAAAAAAAAAATGAAAACAATAAAATTCAAAGCTAAGTCATATTTCAGTACAGCAGGCGTAAACCATCCAGAAATACGCCGCATTCAAGTAGGGATACTTGGGACACTGCCGCCAGCAGTATTTAAGTTAACGACGCGAAATCGCGCAACGATGCTTTGGTGAGTGTCGCGATGCCTGGGAGAGAGTGCAGGGACGAGCAAGACAGGCGGTCATGAAAGGAAACGGCAAGAGAGGGAAACTCATGGGACTCATGCTACGGTTTTCTACAGTATTTTCGTCCTAGCCCTTCCCCCTTCGTCAAGCGGGGGCACAGGCAGCGTTTTTTCCGAGGCAGCTTTTACGCTACCCCCAATGAAGCTGACCCATGCCATCCAGAAACTCGGAGATTTTCACGCGATATATTACTTTAAAATGTGCGGAAAATTGTAATCTGCAGATGGACAACTTACAGCGGGATCCACACAAGAAATAACTAAAATCGCCCACGTGAGCTTCAAGTGATACGCGCTCGCGAACAGGGTGTCTTACATCGCGGCATCCGTTTATCGCCACCACTGGATATTTCACTATTGACGTCACTGCCTCATAACTTGAGCGTTCACCAATGCTCTTACCTCCGTACAGCGTCAGGCATCCAAGATCATAAAAGCCGTCGGTCGTCCGATGTGTACAGTACAAGCAATTCACTTACATCTCCCCCTTAAATCTTCAGTGAGTGCCGCCAAGTATATGCTCGCATGGCGCCACGCCAGCATAATCGGGCGCGGATTCATGGCCCCAGCGTTGGGCACCCACCAGATCATCGGCGGCCATCTTGGCTCCGACGTGGCACCCCGCCCTCCCTCCGAGTACATTTCCCCCATACCGTGTGCACTCACAGGGTGACTACAAACGGAAATTCAATTTAATGGCAATCGCCGGTCCTAAGTGGATGCGGGGCTCAACTTAACCCTCGGCATCGCTCTAGGATAATCGGGCAATCAATAAGTAAGAACCAACACTGAAGGGCCAAACGGACTTTCAAGATGGAATTTCGGCTTCTCTCCGGGTACAGTCAGCAATACGGCCCCTCGTGATGCACATTCGCGACAACGACAAGAATAGAAGCACTAAGATTTAAAATGCTGCATTCGTCTCAGACGAGTTTCTCTGTTGATGCAGGTCCGTGTTTTTTTTTTTTCGCCAACATTATTCAGCGAGCGATACGCTTGGAAATCTACTTGATCGCTGGCAGGCGGACAGAAGCAGACAAGCGTTCGCTGGCAATGGCGGGGCACACCATTCGGGGAAAGGACAAAGACGAGGGGAGAAAGGGAGAGCCTCGTCCGCTACCGCCTCCCTCACTCTCAGTCCACAAATTTCAACACGGATAGCAACAACCCGGACCAAGAGGGAACGTCATAAAATTCACGCATCCGTCAAACAAGGCCCCAGGCTGCCTCTCTAGCAGGATTAACTTACATTCCTTTCCCTGATATAAGGGGCAGACGCCTTCGACATTCAAACTAGAATGCTTCATTTATCAGACTTAACTTTCTCAACAATAACCTTGGCATACAATATATACACCACACTGGTACTGAACATCCAATCTGAATTCTGACCAGGGACTTATACAGCTGATGCTGCAGGCAATGCAAAACACACTGTCACTACTCAGAGAGATAAATAATCATAAGGTATCTTTACTATACAATTCTGACAGGGAGCCACCGTTCATCCCCAATACCTTTACCAGAGGACCTATCCAACAGTATCTGCAAATTACAATGGAAAGAAAAACCTTGGAAGCATCTATCCTTATGACTCATTCGCAATGATGTTAACTGGATATTCACACTGAAGCACTTACATTCCCAGGAAATATACTGTACTCCGATGAATCACCGAATACGTCTTATACAGTACTGTATTCCGGAATATATACGATCATGAACTTTCTGCTCGCCCCTTGCGCTACTGAAGAACGTCACCGCGTCCCTCCCCCGCAGCAGTCCCTCTATCTTCAGCATGACCTAGCCATCCAATGGCGGCCATTGTGCAAGGAAAAACATCGGCTAGAAAACCGCTCAACCCGCCCAGAAATTAACTGGATTAGAAAGAATACCTTCTTTACATTTTCTCGGAGCTAGACAATACTTCAACTAATACCAGAAGTCAAGGGTTTCATACAGGCGGACCTACTAAAATATTCTTGATTTTCCGCTTCAACTAGACCTGTTCCTAATGCTCAGGCAACTCCTCAATTGATCTTTGATTTACAAATCTTATGTAACCTATGTTCGAGCCCCTACATCGGAAGATGTTTACCTTAGAAACTATCCAGAGGTATTGAATTACTTATGCAGGACGTGGACTAGTAAATTGTACGATGATCCAATCCCAGTTTATGGATTCAACTGTCCATGTTTTCAACTAAGCATGAAAAGAAATAGTTGATACCGATCCAGGCGCAACATTTGCGTCAGATTTTTTAACATGTATCGAATGATTTCGTTCGTAAGCAATCGAGAAAAGAGGAAATGTCGTAAAATCTGCCTCACAATTTGTTCGTCAGGTACTCTCATGAAGTTTAAAATACGAATAAGATCCCATAATGAGCAACGATTATTCTAGCCTTCTTCCGACATCGGGCACCACTGGTCCAAATGAGAACAGTATGGTACATGCTAACTCAACTCCAGTATTGAAATATTGGAGGTATGGTATAGTAAGACTAGGGCCGTTACTGTATCTAGTACCTCTACGCATTACGTGCACTCTTACTGGAAAGCACTTCGAAATCTCCTCATACAGTCATGGATACAGACCATGGCTTAGAACCGGATCTGTGCAACAGGGCCCTCCTCGCTTAATGGTATAGCTCAACATCGATGTGGCTTCCGGGTGTTTCCATGCATGAACACATCCAGACATTCAGAGAGGCAACAAAAACAAAGGATGGATGCTAAAAGCATAAAAGTGCAGAAATAAAGGCAGATTGACTGCCACACCGATTTCTCCAGATGATTCTTCGCAACGATCAGAAACTTTTGGAAGCAGAACGCAATGCAAACGGCAAAGAAAAAACAGAACTTTCAAACAATCGCAATCGCTGGGCCCTTTCGGGAACATACGAATTGAGCTGCGTGGAACGTGCGAAGGGTCCAGCAGACCAGACAGACCGCGTCCAGGACGCTCCACTCGCGGAATGCGCACGAATTGCGTCGTTGGGAACAAGGCTGGCAGACAGGCTCGGGCACTGAAGCGCGCGCATTTTGGGAGTGAAGCTCCCACGCTGGTTCATAAAGAGGGAGGGATACGCAAGTCCCGTTTCCCCGCTTGTTCCCCCAATTCGAAAGGGGGGAGGGGGCTGTAAAATAACACGACTGACTTTTCGGATTCCAGCTTTTCCGCAAAGCGGGTGTCCAGATTATTCGTTATGTCTAGCAACAATTTTGACAAGAACAATTGGTTGATACAGTATCCCTGGATGCTAACTGGGGTTAATTCAGAGTTAAAGGTCATTTCCCTGATTGGAATCTATAGACGTATTCATCTAATTATATCCTGTACCATTGAAACTTTGCCATCATTTTTGGGAAAGATTTAACTTTTCTAGGTTCACATAAATTAAATCGCTAAAACGCGCATTTCTGTCAGGGATACATTTCTGAAAATACTACCGTATACCATAAGATAAAAATCGTATGAGACGTTCATGTATCAAAATCAGCTCCCAAACAAGGCATCATTTTGATATAAAACAACCCTGTTCATCGATTCCAGCAATATTTGCGTCAGAATCCTAGGAAAATTTTCGAACTTCATAAGAGAATTTGAAACATTTTTCATTTATCAAGTACCATGTGCCAAAAAGTTCCTTCACTTGAAATTCTCACTTTACATTGTGTTTCGGTTTAGGCTTAATCATACGTCAGCAATGAAGCACTTGAAGTGAACATCAGAGAATGCAGGATAATGGAACCAATACTGTGCAATATTGGGACTCCTGGAGATAATTTTGTTGCTTGTATACAGCATGCAATTATACAATCAATACCCCATGATACAGTACAGTATTACGGTATAAAAATATCAAGCTTAAAATGCAACTTAATTCAGGAAACATTTCCCCGTCCAAGAAAATGAACACTGCAAAACAAACGAGAAAATTCGGAGGGTGTTGGAAATTTGTTCACGTGACGTCAAACACGTTTTACTCCTTCCTATATACTGTACAGTAGTAAAATATATGTGCGTGCAGCTGCTATGCTGAGGGAGAGAGTCAGACTGCATACGGTATGCAGTATACATACACACGCACCCTGTTTGGCCCACAGTTGGGACAGGTAGAGGGGTGACATCTCTTCATTACAAACCACTTTATTTCAAAACAGTGCGGGACCGTTTTCACAGGATGAGTGGTGCTTTTTATGGGGCAGCACTCAGCAGTACAGAAAAATTATTTTGCATAGTTTGTCCCTGATTTTTTTCTTGCACACACAAATACATGCATGCATGCAGATGGACACACATGGAAGCATACAATGCAACATGAACATCAAGAAACCAGCAATAACAGCCCAACACATACACAAAGCAAGGTAATTCAACTAAGCGGATTCAAACCGCAACCCTAGCACAATCTGGGCCTGTGGCATGAGCCACTGACTAAACCATGAACACAGCATGCAGTCCATGTGTAGACAATAATGTTATTATACTCCTCATGTGATTGTATGGTGTATGGATAAACTGGGAAGTCTGTATTATGGGTATTTTGTATTCTGCCATGCTTTTGCGGTAGGTATCATTAAAACATTTCTCCTAGTTTTATTCAAGAAAGCCAATACAGCAGTTATAGATTGACAAAACAGTATTTATGCAGTACATGAAATTCTGATATTTTTTTCAACAGAAAGATATTAAGACTTGACAGGCTTAAAAATACAAATAAATGAACCTTCTTTGTTGAACCATCCACGCCTATAGAGAGGCATTTTGGTGGGAGGCAGCGCAGCATTTTGAGGGGGGCAAAAAGAAGCTCTTTTCCCCCAGGATGTGGCACTGCTTACCCCCAAAACAAAGCACCACTTCTTCCCAAAGCGAAGTGCTGCTTCCCGCCCCGCCAAAACATATCACTGCTTATTCTCTCCAAAATGCTGTACCACCTCCCCCCAACTGTGGCACCACTTTCCCCAAAACAAAGTGCTCCTCCCCCCCCCCCAAAGTGCTGCATTTGAAGTTTCAAGTGGTATGCCTTAAGGCATACAGCTTAAAATGTACCTAAAGAATTTCCCAAAAATATGTCATATTTTGCATTTTTCGAACACCTAGCCTTCTCCACAAAAGTCTTCATAGTCTCACAAGAAATTGGAATGGTGCACCAGCACTTCCTTCAATAAAATTATATTTTTATAAAATGCTGCTCATGAAGAAATTGCCAGGGTCAAGAAAAATTCATTTTCTTCTTAAGTGTATTGTAATGAGATTTATTTTTATGAAATTCTACCATGTCTATGTGTGATTGAATTTTAGCCTCAACAATCCTATGTTTTCTACAAATTATGTTTTTTATTGCGTGAGGAAAAATTCATATTTCCTTTTTGCAAAGGAAAATTAGGCCCAATTTGTTATGCATCATCAGGCCAAAATGTGGTTTAATCCCCTGGCTGGGATATGCTGGTTAAAACTATTTCAAGTATACATTTTAAAATGTGTTCATTGAAAATTTCAAAAGTAACATAACCTGACCTGAGTTTTCTGCAAAAACTGACTTTGAGGGGTGGTTAGGTAAAGTTAAGTTAGTTCAGGTTATATTATTTTAAAATATTTCAACTATATACAGCAATTTAATATCTGTTCATTAAAAATATTTCAACTAACATAACCTGAGTACCTAACCCAACTTTACCTAGCCACCCCCTCCCCCAGTCAGTTTCAGCAGAATCCCAATAAATAACAGCTCAAGTGTCAATTCACATTTCAATTCAAAAACAGTCAGTAATGAACTTGTATGGAGAATAAAACAGATGGATGGGGAGGCTGAGGATGAGGATAGGGTACCCTGGCTTCAGCACAACAGGGTTGTTGAATAATTCTAGTATATGAGGATTCATTTTTGAGAACCACACATGGATGCTGCCAGTAACATTCCCTGTGCCATTCTTAGCGCCATCTATATGGACAGAGTATTGGGTGTGGCTGACTTATGATACACTTTCCAACTCAACGCCACTCACTTCCACGCTGCCCTCCTAGAGGGCTATTCCCTTCCACTCCATCCCTCAACGCCATGAATGAGTGACTTCATGAACTGCGCATGCTTGCAGATAGGAAATATATGTTGAAGGATGGCACGGGAAGATAACATACTATTCAATACATAAACTTACAGCACTCCTAACATTTTATTCTTGCTATTTTATGAGTAGTATTTAGTGGTTTCCAAAAATGGTAAACAGATTCAAAGGCATTCCATCACTATTGCTGATTTGTGCAAATAACTTCCAAACATGGCTATAAAATAATTATTTTTATCTGAGCATACATTCCTTCCATGTTAAACCACTCCAAAGGCACAATGCTATAGCAATAAATGTGAATGCATAACTTGTTTTCTGATGAATCTGTATATTAGAGCACGTTATTCATGCATTTCAATGCAAAAAAAGAATCAGAAATTTAAAAAAGAGTGCAATACCCAATTTCATACAAAATACCAATGAAGTATAGCAGTAGTACTTTTTCAAGCATACCAAAATACACACACAATTTTCAACTGATTTGAAAAGATGAAAGGAAAATATATTCATGGGAGCTGGAAAGGTGGCTCAAGCAATGACAAAAGGATGAATTAAAGCAGCTGTAGTGAAGCTGGATCTTGCCTGTATGTAATGACATTTGTCCTCTGATGAATACCTTGGCAAGAAACTTGATGGCATACACATCATTCCATCTTCTTGGGGTCCCATTTTCTGCACCATTGCCCTTCCTTGGTAAATGGTATCTGAAAAAATTAAAAAATAATTCGTTCAAATATGATCATCATTTTTTGAGATTTGAGAAGTACTTCTGCCTCCAAATTTTTTTAGTCCCAAGAATGATCACTTTTTGCACTTTTTGTGCAAAAAAATTGGAATGCATCAGCACTTTAGAAATTTCAAAAAATTGAAGTGATCAATTATTCAAAATTTAGAACTGAAGCACTTTTTCCTGGAAGAAAAATCATAGGAATCAAAATAAATTAGGGATGAACTACTATTAAAAACCATAACTGTACATATTTAGTATTGAATACTCCATCCACCATGATGTAAACCAAAAATAAATTATCTGTATGGTATATCTATTACTGGAAAAACCAACCTTCAAAATCGCCATTGTTTTCATGGTGGTGTTCACCAAACACTCCTCACATTTTTACTCACATCATTCAAAATTTGGAAATTGGTGTGTTACTTGCTGCTTACAACTCTGACAGAGGTGGTACTACAATATTTGTTCTTATGCTCTGTGTCATGTCATTTGCAGTAAGAAATATCATTAGATATTCAGACTTGAAAACAATTTTTATTCACATAATTTGCGCAATATTATTCGCATATTCAAATTTTTTTGAACATGTTTTTTCAATACTTACACTGTTATTTGTCCACCAACGTTTCCCGAGATAATATATGTTATTAATGAAAAAAGATTTTATGTGCACTGTTATTTGTCCCTTGGAGTCTCCCTATAAATTTTACACCACCAAATCATTGCAGTTGAAGTTACTCAATGAGAGACTGGCGCTCCTAGGTGTGGCGTGAAAGACGTAGCCCTGAATGGAGCGGCGTTGAATGGAAGTTGTATCATACCGTCGAATCACGGTAAGGGTACAACTGTACAGTAAGGGTTCAGTAAGGGTTCCCTTACTGTACTGTACTGGAAACTGTGATTGCAAGTTTCAGGTTCGTATGTTCGAATGGGACTGCGTTTACCGGAATTTTGGTTGCCAATGCGACTGACTGTTGGAATTTTATTCTTCATTGCAAGTGCCTCTGAGGCATTTTTTCAGTCTTGATGTTTGCAAGTGCTTTTCAGTGTCATCATTCGAATACATAGATGTTCAATATGTGATTGCGGTGGATATTGTCAATTTTTGTTTGGTTTCAGAACCAAGTTGTTCGTTGGAATTAACTCGGGAGCGTGAAACCCATAGGGTTGCTATGTGATTCTGCCGTCAAGGTTTTTTCGAGGCTCTCTTAATACCCATTCACGAAGTCTCATCTTATGTATTGGTCATTTTCAGGGCTTCTTCTGAAGTGTTGGTCTTTTCCACGCGTTTTGTGTGGGTTTACGATTTAGTATATGTCGGGAGGGTAGTGCCAACGAACGATTTGGTACAGTCTGTCGACGGTTATGCTGGCTGGTGAGGAAGTGCTCTGATACCCTAGCATAATGGAGTGCGCCCATGTTCAGTCTGCTGTGCATATAACAGCAGTCAATGGGAAAACATGGACTTGTATGGAGCAGAGTGAGTACGACCCGCTTATCATCTGTGGGATTTCGATATTCAAAATCTTCACATGCAGTAAAACCTCTCTAAATCGAATTTCAAGGGAACAGCACAAAATTAGACTTTGGGGGTTATGAATTGGGGAGACAAGCATATGAAATTTACAGGATATTGTGATTAGTGATATGTGCCCTGAGTAGCTTCACAAGTAATAAGACAGGATGCTGAACTGGGAAGCGAAATGCGTTGAGTTACAATTTTAAACAACATACATGTAAATATGCTTCAAGTTACAATCGCTTTTATCATCTTTACTGTGCGTATAAAATAATAGCCAGAAGGCCGTCAGAAAATTCGAATTATCGAGGTTTGAGGGAGGGGGAAGCCTTCGCATTGAAATGGTGTTCAATGCATTGTGTCTAAGGGTCTCCGGCTGGGACTTGAAGAAAATTCGACGTAGGGAGGTTCGCGTTCTCAAGGTTCAACTGTAAAACAGTTTTAAAACAAACCTTGACGCATATTTGTTTTGCTCAGACTGTGGTACAACAGAGGGTGTTTGGCTATGCACTTTTTGCGGGCAATTCTACTGTGGACGGTACGTGAAGCAACATATGCTGAAGCATCATCTGAGGAAAGGGAAGCACTGTGTTTGCATGGATCCGCGAAGTCTCTCCGCATTTTGGTAAGTTTTCCATTCCGCAGGATTGTCTTATACGAACGTGCTCCTGACTGCTAAAATGTTGTGACGTGTAGCTACGAGTGCGACGACTTCGTGGTGAATGATAGCAACGACAAGAAGCTGCACAAGTTGCGCAAGTGTTTGGCGAAGCAAACAGTGAAGATGGAAGACGTGGAAGAGTCTGGGGAAATCCCGAATTGGCGCAGTGTGCGCAGGAGCAAGAGACTCAGTGCAGGACTCAAAAAAGAGTTTAAGCTGAAGCTGAAAGAGCCCAGGTTGCAATTTTGCCTGCGGTTTTCATCAGCTCTGTTCTTTGAGTTAATTCAACTTTTCCTATTTTCAGGCCTCCGGTCGTGAACGGAAAACGCATGAAGATGAAGGAGGAGTTGAACCACAAGCCCCCAAAAACCCATGGAGTTGGGCTACGCAACCTTGGCAACACATGCTTCATGAATGCTGTCCTGCAGTCCTTGAGGTACCTTTTTTATTTACCCGTCTTGAATTTCCCGCGCACAATGATGACTTATTTCCCCCGTCTGCTTGTGTCTTTCTCCAATCAGTAATATCAAAGAATTCCGGAGTTACTTCAAGCAACTGCCATCGCTGGAAGAGGTCATACTGTCTCGTAACAGTGGTCGGCGTAGGTCAAGCTCACATGACACTAAAGATAAGAGTACGGGTTTAGAAGACGGTCTCATGGTGGAAGAGCTGCGGAAGATACTGGCTGCCTTGTGGGAAGGCAACGGAAAGAACCCCATTTCTCCCGACTCCCTCTGCAATGTAATTTGGAAGCTCATTCCAAGATTCAGGTATGCTATCATTTCTCGCGAATTAGCAGTGTGTCCCTGGGATTTGGCGAGCTCAATGAGGCAAAAGCGCGATCTTGAACAAAAACGTTGTGGCTCTCTCCTGTGGAATAGAAGTAGAAGGCGTAATATTCGAAACTGATATACAGTATATTGTGCCGAATATAGCGTCTCAGTGTGCAGTATCGTCAGTTTAGTAAATTCTGTGTGTCCGTGAATCCTTCAGTGTGCACAAACTCAGGAAAATGAAGGATTTCTCCCTAGATTTCTGGTTGAACCAGTTCTTTTGGTAGACGATGGTACAAAATTATGGGAACGAGGTTTGCATGAAGCGCATCCTACCTGCCCTTGATCTGACGTACAGTATTTATTTGTGTTGCGTGCTTAAGATTTCTAGCAACATGTTTTCGGGATGAAGCCACGGGAGTGAAAGGATCATTCTTTTTTATTTTAAATTTCCAGAGGGTATCAGCAGCAAGACGCGCATGAATTCCTCTTGTGCATATTGGATCATCTCGATTGGGAGTTGCGGAGTCTTGGTCCGGGGAAATTGCAAGAAGTCGCATCTCTCCAAGGACTTCAGGGAGGATCGCAGTGTGCAGGCTCACTGAATGCGTCTGTGTTGTCGTGCTCCTCTGTGTCGTCCTTGTCATCTTGTGCCAATCCTAGTGATCCTGTCGTATCTCGTAGTGGGAACAGCTGGGGGGGCTATTCCAGTTCAAGCTCGTGCTTCAATCTCCGTTATAGGGATTGCTTAGTGAAGCTCTACTCTGGAACCAAGAATCAGTCATCAATTGTGACCTCAATTTTCAGTGGTACTCTTCAGAGCAAGGTGGGTAACATCGGAGACCATTGAGTTGACAGAAAGAAGCTGTGGTGTGTGTGTTACCCGCGCCTTGTAATTTCTTCTCGCAGTTGAAGTGTCTGAGCTGTCATCACGAGTCCAAGATACACGAAGCCTTCTTGGACCTGTCCCTCGATATCCCCGATACTCTAGCGCAGAGGAAGAATCGGTCTAAAGAAAACAATCAAAATACTCCTATTTGTGATCTATCTGGTGAGATTTGTTTTTTATTGTTTTGTGTCCCGTTTCTTGGGTTTTTGGTCGGATTATCCTCAGACTGGTGTTTCTTCCGTAGACTGCTTGCTGTTGTTCATGCGTCGCGAGAATCTGGAAGATAATGAATGGTACAACTGCCCAGGATGTAAAGGGAAGCATCCGTCGACAAAAAAATTCCTCATCCATTGTCTGCCGAATGTAGGTTATTTTTTATTTGTGAGGCTTGCTGTGGGTAATGTGGCATTTTCTGGACTTCTTCTTAAGGTGCTCATACTGCATTTGAAACGGTTCCGTTGGAGTGGTGTGGCTCAGTCCAAGATCGATGCTTTTGTCAAGTTCCCGTTGAAGGCGTTGGACATGTCCGAGTACATTATGAATAACGTGCCTGAGACTCGTTGCTCCAAGCTTGGCTCTAACTTATTTGATCTTGCTGCGGTAATCGTGCATCACGGACTCTGGTGAGTTGTGCAATATTTGAGTTCTCCGTGAGGCGGAAACGTGGATTCTACGTGCGTTTCTACATTACTTCTATTTCAGGGCTGGCACCGGGCACTACACGGCATTCACGTTGAACGAGGGCAATTGGTACCATTTCAACGACTCAAACGTGCAAGTCACGGATGAGGGAACAGTTGCAGCCAGCAAGGCTTACATTTTGTTCTACGTTTGTCGGGAATTCCGTGTTATGTGATTTGGCCCCTGAAAAGTTCTTCCCTGTCCCCCCTCAGAGGCTCTTGCACTGTTCTCGTTTACTTTCCACCAATTGAACCGGCATTTGGTGGATGTGGTCTCATGAAGTTGGTAGTTCGGAGATCTGCTGTGATGAAATTGAAGTAAGTATGGATGACTATTGTGTCAAGAGAGGTTTTGTTTTGGGACCCAGTGTCGTAGTGAGCATTATTCGGAAGAAAGCCGAAGGCTTCTTTCTGGGTTCTATTTCAAGATGCAGTTCTGTTCACGAATAACTGACCTCTACTCTCAGCATTGAGTTTTCTTAATTTTTTTTAGCGAATTCCTGACTTCGATGCTGCTGTGCATTGTTTGTGATCATGTGAACTCAAAATTGTTGTGTGAGAGTGAACTGCGCATGCAAGTCCTGGGCCTGACGGAGTGTTTTTTTTTTTGTTTTGTTTTGTGGAGGGGACTTTGCTATGCCCCAGATTTTGGAATCATTGGTTAGGTTTCTTGTGCTTGTGTTGCTGCATTCATTCGACGACAGGCCTTCCCCGTTTCCCTCCTGTGTCGCGAAGAGAAAAACAACTTCATCGCGGGGAGAAACTGTGGGTTAGGGACCGAGGGGTACTTGCCTCGTTGAACTGGAAATAAATTTAAACGCTGTGATTACATAACATGAAGGATTGAATGATTATTGACGAGTAGTGTGTGATGGAATGTCTGGAAGAGTGCAATTACAGCGGGCTTTAGGACGAAACTAATACCGGTAAGACATAAGGTAATGCCTGCGCTCCTGGAATTTAAGAGCTACCCAAGTGGATCAAGTTTTTGAATCTGCTAATGAGGCGGAGTCTCTGGGATTGTGCCATCCCCGGAAACTTGAGCAAGCAATTGACTGATCTTTCAACGTTTATTGTCGTTGTACCGATGCGTGATACAGAAACGATTTAGATTGCAGATGCCCCTACTAAGCTGGTTGAGAACGAGTTATCATCGCAGGTAGATGGATTTTGTCAGTCGCAATCGCCCATGCAGGGAAGTTTCGTTTTTCTTTATTTTCAGATCTGAGTTTCTAGGTTGTTCGATACGGCGGAATTCATAGGGTGGGGTCAGTATACGGTCTTTGATAAAGGTGAAGTTCAGTGAGTCAGCGGGTTTAGAAGAACTTCACTAGGGAGAAGGACCTTTTATGACGCTAACACCTTCTGAATGAATGCTGAAAAGCTTAGCAGCGATTAGCCGCGGTCGGTTTTTCATAACCGTTTCTTTTCCATCTCACTATGTGTGTGCGATTTGTTCCATACTTCGCTCCATGGATATCAATTTGGAGAGAAAGAAAACCCGTTATCCGTGCTGTCCATGTCGTGTAAAGTATTCTTTGATATTCATGAGCGAGTTCATCATGCGTGTTGCGTTGATCTCCAGCTTCTGATTTTTCAATTTTAATCTATGCATTTCGGCAAGAACAATAAAAGGTAATAAAACCAGCGCCCTGTAAGGAGAGAGTGATGAGAGTTTTGCCAGTGAGGAGTTCTGCTCCGGCGAAAAACACACCAACCTTCAGTTTCATGCAGTAGATCTATACCAGGATGTCTGAAAGTTGAACTCTTGTTCCTGAGGACGCACACTGCGCAGTAAACTGACCCACCCACGATTCTGAGACACTACTGTGACTGCGCAGTGAATGGATGTACATACCGTGAACCAGGAAGCGTTGGAGCCACCTAAAGGGTGAGTCTTATTCTACAAATTTAGTTTCCTACTGGTGTTGAACAGTGATCGATTTTTGGCCTTTTCTTATCNGGAGCCACCTAAAGGGTGAGTCTTATTCTACAAATTTAGTTTCCTACTGGTGTTGAACAGTGATCGATTTTTGGCCTTTTCTTATCTCGTATAACAGCAAGCATGTATACATACAGGGCTGCAACAAAAATGCTATAACTCTAGTCTCTATATACGAGTATAAATAGCAGAATGACACAATTTCATTCTTCCAAATTTGCTCAAAGGTTGCTGAACCATGCTGATTTAGGCCAGCTTTCCCATTCACTTTTAGTGTTTTTAAAATTTTGTTCAGGTGGTTTGAAAATAAATTCATTTTCTTGTTTTGTTCAAGTTCCTTCTTACATGGCTGAAATTTCCAAAAAATGATTATCTGTGTTTTTTTATTGCAATGCATACCGTACTTTATTTTTTTCAGGTTTCTCCCTATATGTTGCGTTTGATTGGGATAGTGAAATTGACTCTTTTGTTGAGAAAGCTCGGGAAATGCGTGAATGAAGAGTAGCGCTACGCTTTCCAGGCATGGAAAGGAAGTCAGATGAAGAAAGAAATAGAACATCATCATCCAAAAAACAAATCCCCTGTTCTTGATAGCCCGGTGCATGGAACACCCAGTTCTGGTATACACCCACCAGCAGTTACACTCCTCTGTCCAAGATTACAACATTATGAAGTTCCATTCAAACTTATCGCTTCACAAAAACTCAGGATTGTGCGACAGTACGTCATTTTCATCTTCAATAATCCATCTATGAGTGCTTGACAATTGAAATAATGAAAAGATAATTATCAAGCTCTACTCCGTAATGTAATGTACTCTCAGTGTATACTGTATTCATTTACACTTGGCAGATTTAACGCGGCGTAATTAAAATTGAGTGAACCTATGAAGTACGAAAAATAACAAAGAAAAACTGACCGCCAATCAAGACGAACTCACGACGAAAACCACAAATGCACGGAACTGAGCTTTCTCCAGCCCAAGTTCCTCTGATTCCGGCCATCCGCCGAAAAACAGATTCTTCCCCAGTTTTCGTCAGCAGAATTCAGAAGGAAGCACCTGCGACACTTCATCGCGATCTGAGAAATATTCACGAAAAGGACGCGATCCTTTAAACATCCACAATGCACTTCTTCGAGAAATGTTTTTCAACACCGCACAATTTTATAAGGAATGTTTTTCTCCTTTCGCGAAGATTTTGAACGCACTGATATGCCGCACAGTGGAGAGGATAGTCTGGATACTCTGGAATACCAAACACGCCAAAAATACATGAGATTAAGCAGTTCAGCAGGTCGTTTCACACCAAAGTTTTAGAGAGATAACTCGTTCGAATACACCCGTTTTAAACAGTTCAATCAATTCGACGCTTATCCTCCGTCAAATGACATTTCTGTAGGTATATGCAGCAGCCATCGCCGAAATACTTTCAACACACAAAACGTCACCGAGATACTTTCCAAAATCCAATTGAAGATTATATATGAACCTCATGCAGAAGCCTGTCCATCAAGGCCTAATCCCAAGCCTTTTTACAAGAAGAGGTCCAAAATAGGGAAAGCGTAAGCACTTTCGGATGTGCGTGTTTTTCCTCTAAAATGATCACCTCAACATTTGGGAACTCTTCTTTCATAATGTTGAATAGGTCGGAGGATGAGTCATATCGAGCAGAACGAAGTCACTATAGCGACACCTAACCGCACATAAAGAACACCACAAACCATGGGAAAGAATCTGAATAACCCAAATAGCAAGAAGAGTCAGAAGATGAGCTGGNGTCGGAGGATGAGTCATATCGAGCAGAACGAAGTCACTATAGCGACACCTAACCGCACATAAAGAACACCACAAACCATGGGAAAGAATCTGAATAACCCAAATAGCAAGAAGAGTCAGAAGATGAGCTGGCTAGTAACTTGCGTTTTATTGATGTCTGTAATTTGCATAGTGCATGCGTCAAAACCATTACCAATTTGATCCAACAGATCCTCAGTGCACTGCTCATCCAATCTTTCTTCTGAAGTTAACTAGTGGAACTCAACCCACCACATAAAATGAAGCTACCTCACACTGCCATCAGTATAGTAAGGGCGCTCCCTTAGATCGAGGCGCGACACCTAGTGGCGAGAACTTTTCCCGAGTATCCAACCCACCCGCGTCGGCGTCATCACGAGGGGAATCTGGAGGTAGTTCGCGAGGGGGCGATGGACAATAAGACAGATTGGCGTCACTTGACTCTTGTTGTTTGACTGGTGATCATCTCCTAATCATCTGACCAATCATACTTGTTACCTGGTGTTGTGAATATAATGACGTGTTGGTAAGAACCTGCGTTGAAGTCTCTCCTACGACTTATAATTCCTTATTGTATCGATGGTGCGCTACATGAGACAAATCCTCCGTTTCGCCGCAGGTCTAAAAAAAAATATCACAGGTCTTCTACGACATCTTCTCATTTTTTTTAACAACAGAAAGTGTACGATTCTATTACGTCCCATTAGGTGTAGCCATATCAAATGTGAAAACATGCTCTTCATTGTCGCAACATCCCGGGGGGAAGTCACCTAAAATGTATTACTATGCAATGGATACATGGATTTCTCATGAATCATCCCCAAATAATGCCATCCCTAACAAGATTTCTCGATTTAGACGTTACTGGCATTACAGGCGAAAGCTAGAGGTCACTAGCAAAAAGGAAACCTATACCTTGAGAGAAAAAAAAAAATCTCGAGACTACAATTGGGGGACAGAAGATTTTGACGGTGAGGATTCAGGCGAATGGGGTCAAGAATCAATACACTACTAAAAACGTTTCACTACTCGGCGCAAAGGAAAACAATACGCATCAGGTAATTGACTACAGCATACACTACCACCACAATAAGGGGCAACAATTATTTCAGGTATTTTTTTGGTCTTTGAGTACCGGCGTGACAGCGCGATTCTAAAATATGGCCCAAGATATTTTGATCCAATCTTAAACCAACGATATCCTGAGACACTATGAAATGGAGGACTCACCTTGGTTGGCAAAAATTGATTCAATAAAATAATTGTTTTGATTTTTCGGCAGCCTTATGTCGGAATTCTCATGAACATAATTTTTTCTCCCCTGAATCAGGCCATTCATACCTTCAAAGTTCAAACCCGAGATTTTCTGGACAAATTTGCATACAGTACAGTGCTTGAAATAAATTACGAAATGTTCTGATAAAAATACGCATTCCTCATTCCAGCACATCAGTTACTAAAAATCTTCAGTAAAAATGATTTGTTCATTTTACAAATAATACAAAGTGAACTTCAGAAAAATAGTGAAAATTCCGCTGGAACGAGAATTGCTCAACATCGTGTCTATATGAAGTTTCGATCAGGACCTTGAAAATATTACGTTATATACAGTACCGGTATAAATTGCAATGGATCATCATCTGTATACTTTGGTTGCCAATGCTCTCTGAAAATTTCATAAAATAACAGCGATCACCACACTGAGCTTTGAAAAATTTAAAGAATCTCAGCATATTTTCCGACGAGAGGATTCGCGCAAAATTACAAAAAAGGCGGCCCTCCGAACCAGACCTTTCTCATTTTGCCCAACCGGACATGGCGATTTCGCCCTCTCTCACGGCTTTTGTCGCGATGCGACCTCCTCAAATGGCGCAGCCACTTTCGGCCTATCACCAAGTACCGACCGAGGCAGGTTCCCCCAGCGAAGGCGTAAACTTCGTACAATCCCGGGGTTCGAACCAGGGTTCTCCGGCGTTACTTCCAACAGCCGTGACCACTATGCCGTGCCCTCGGCGGCGAAAAGATTCGGTCGACACTGGGTACATATTGACCGCCGCCAACCGGAGGCGGAGTTTACCAAATCGTATGGGGGAACTCATTCTTCCAGCGTTGTACGGCAGGACCCCGAACCGCACAGCACTGGTACAATTGAACACAGTAGCTCAATTTCACCATCAACTGCGCAAAATCATGTACAGCACCACTGAGCAGCAATGTTCGTTCTTTTTTAAAGGCTGCGCGGAAGCGAAAAAAGACAAGCTGCTCCATACCGTATTCACGCGAATATCCAACAGCACTGTGGCTCTTTTTTTCAATTCTAGAATCTCACAAACCAAGGGGAGATGCTTTTATACAGTACAGTTGGTACCTCGCACTTTGACCTCCCGCAATAGCAATTGGACGGTTGACTTTGCAGGGAGGTTGACTAGCAATTCGACCCTGGCCCCACAATTCAACCTGCTTTGGCCACTTTTTCGCATTTTTTACTAATATTTTTGGATATCACGAAGTGTATCGGAATTCGACCATACTTTGGCAATGGATTAGGGTCGAATTGCGAGGTACCACCTGTATTGACATATTCATGCGATTCGCAAAAATATAAGCACCCCTTTTTCCCCCCCCCTTTCAGAAATAAAAATGAATGGAAATAATGTACAGTACTGTACTTCGTTTTATACAGTATATAAAAAATTCGAAATTTCCACTCGAGTCATTACCACGCACCCTCGAAAAATATATGGACCAGGATTTTTCATACACATTCTTATACAGTACAGTACGAGTATATGCATACGAGTATATTGTATTTGTATCCTCAAGCAAGAGGTGCACTATGATAGTAACTTGGGAACTGCGCTTTACACTGTCCAAGATAAGAACCCCAAATTTGAATTTCGACATAAATTAAACCTGTATTCAGCTACTGTAATTTTATATCATTTCCATTAAAATGAGTTCTTTTGGTAAACTTGGTTCAAACTTGCCCGTTAATATCAAGTATAAGGCCAACCTAAAGGCCTAAAACTTTTCTAAAAATCGAGAACCGCCTCCATGGCCGGCACCCCTTTTCCCCCTCTTGAATTTGAGGAAAAAAGTGCGCGTGTTACTCCAGCAAATACGGCAATATACTCGTATAACCCTTGATGCAGTATTTAGAATATATTATTCAAGTAGCATAGGTTATCGAAGTTAATTACGCATACGAGGAATGCCGCGTACGTTACAAACGACCTTCTTTCACCGTATCATCTCGACACCGTTAACCCTCTTCTGGGAAAAACGTAAATTTTTCCAGAAATTTCAGGATCCTGGACAGTCAGATCACCATGCAGGAAAGTAAAGGGGTGCTTATATTTCTTTACTAATGGAATTTCAATTTTGTGCATGAGAAAGCTACATAGAGGGTGCAGCATATATAAAATCGCGCAATAACGGCATTTTGAGAAAAGTGGCTGATAAACAAGCGAAACCTGCAAATTTTACACAAAAATCTTCAAAATAATAATGGAGTGAAAAATTAGAGTATCATGAAAACCCAAGTGCTGTCATACCTGTATCCCTTGGAGTTCAAGCGGAATTGATCCGGAGCAAGTTTCGCACTGTTATTTGCCACAACTTTTGTCAAAGAAAAAGCCTTCATTTCAAAAATTAAGTTAAGAACCAACGGAGCAGCAGCAGTGCAATGTCTTCAAAAAATTAGAAAGCTGGGCTTCAGAAAAGGTTTCCCAGAAGGAAGAGTGGAAATAATTTATTTCAGCAGGCAAACATTATTCTTGAGTATTCTTTATGGGAAGAAGCCTTTTTAATTTTAATTTGATAATTTCAACTGCCATTTTTTTCAGATAACAATAATAACTTGGTTCATCACAACTTCTGATGCATTTATCATGCTGAAAATTTCCTGCGGAATAGCAAAAATAATTCTGTGGACCCGGCGCCGGTCCGCGGGTTGGTCAACACTGATCTAAAATATTAAATAAAATATTTATTTTCTGTATCTACAGGTGAGGGGTTTTTGTACATGTCAGCTAGGAAACATGAACAGCCAATCGAGTGCACTATACCATACAGTATCAGAGGGGAATGAACGAAATCGCGGTTGTGCGTTTGCGCGGGGCTTAACCACCCGCCATTGTCTTGAGTCAGTCAAGTAGTCAAGTGTAACAGAATTCTTCGTGAAGCGAGAGTTTGACTGTTGGAGTTTGACTCGCGAAGTCGCGATCACGGGTTTCTGTCGGCGTTCGTGGCGTTCTGTTGTTGAAAAATGCTGCTTGTGATTCTTATAACGGTGATAAAATCACTCATCGTATTTACATAGACTGTATTTATATGTACTGTACTGTATACGAGGGGTTACACGTTTCTGCGCAGACTTGTTTTGGTGTGTACTTGTAATGATCTGAACACCAGGACTTGAAAAAAAAATTTCTTATGTTCACTATAGTTTCAAGGCAGACACCTTCTCAATGTCATCATCACCAATTTGTACACACTTCACAGCTCTTTTGATCCATGTGTTGAATCAGGCCTTGAAATGTTACACCTCGAAGCTTCCCCGAAACAGCAGAAACAATAAGCTGATCCGCACGGAACCGTGTAATAACACCTCGTATACAATATATATCTACCTTTTTTCCACGGTTTAGTAAGAGTTGAGTGGCACTAGCTGTCACTAAACAAAATAGCCTGCACACTGATAAGCACAGAGCGGCAATTCGACAGAGAACATTCGACAACCTGTCGAAAATTTAGAAGAAAAAATCCGCTGGCACCTCAGACCAAGCCTTCTAACACAATGCTATTGTAATCCCAGCCATCCTAACAGAAAATGCATGTTTTTCTTTTCTTCCTCAAGCTTAGTTTATAATCATCTTCGAAAAATTTGGATAAATTTTTTCCCACGATTATTCGCTGCTTCAGGCAAGCGGAACTGAGATGGAAAAAATTCGAATGTTGGCATCATTTTTCTGACAGAAACACATGGTAGATTTAACGCGGCCTCATTAAAATGGAGTGAATCTATGAAGTATGAAAAATAACGAAGAATAACCTCCAATCAAGACGAACTCACGACGAAAACCAGCCCAGAATGAACGAAACTGCGCTTTCTCCAGCCCATGTTCCTCTGATTCCGGCCATCCGCCGGAAAACAGATTCTTCGCCACTTTTCGTCAGCTGAATTCAAAAGGAAGCACCTGCGACACCTTTCATCGCGATCCGATAAATATTCAAGAAAGGGACGCGATCCTTTCACCATCCACAATGCAATTCTTGCAGAAATGTTTTTCAACACCGCACCATTTTATAAGGAGTGATCTCCTTTCGCGAAGATTTTGAACTCACTGATATACCGCACAGTGGAGAGGATAGTCTGGAATACAAAACACGCCAAAAATACTCGAGATTACGCAGTTCAGGTCGCTTTACACCAAGGTTTTAGAGAGATAATAACTCGTTCGAATACACCCGTTTTAATCAGTTCAATAACTTCTACGCTGATTCTCCGTCAAATGACATTTCTGTTGGTATGCCGCACATCAATGCAGCCATCCCCGAGATACTTTCAACACACGAAACTTCACCGATACTTTCGGAAAACCAATTGAAGAATTAACCTAATGCAGAAGCCTCTGTCCATCAAGGCTTAATCCCAAGCATCTTTACAAGAAGAGGTCCAGAACAGAGAGAGCGAAAGCACTTTCGGATGCGCGTGTTTTTCGTCTAAAATAATCACCTCAACATTTGGGAACTCTGCTTCGATAATGTAATGTTGAATAGGTCGGGGAATGAGTCATATCGAGCAGAACAAAGTCACTATAGCGACACCTAACGCTTAAAAAGAACACCACAACAACAGAACCCACAATCCAGAAGAGAGATTCTGAATGACCGGGATACTGTAGCAAGAAGAGTCGGAAGTAGAGCTGACTAGTAACTCACGTTCCATCAATGTCTGCAATTTGTATTGGGCATGCATCAAAACCGTTACCAATTGGATTTAGCAGCTCCTCAGTTCACTGCTCCAACCTTTCTTCTGAAGTTGGCTGGCGGAACTCAACCCACCCACATAAAATGAAGCTACCTCAAACTGCCATCAGTATTGATGCTGCGCTATACGAGACGAATCCTCCGTTTTGCTGCGGGTCTCCGAAAAAAAAATAAAAGGTAGTCAACGACATCTTTTCACAACAAAGAATGTAGGATTCTATTACCTCACACTAGGTGTAGCTATACCAAGTGTGAAAATATGCTCTTCGATCATCGTTGCAACATCCTCTGGGAATAGTCACCTACGACGTATCACTCGGCAATGGATCACTCATGAATCATCCGCAAATTAATGCTATCCCTGGCAAGATTTCTTGATTTAGACGTTATTGGCATTTCATCTGTGGCCAAGTTCAGTTTATCAAGAATAATTCAATACTATGAACCAAGCTCCTATACCTTATTTCCTTCACCCAATGCGGAGCTAGTCATTCACAAAATATATATCCAGCATGTCACCAAGTTCGGAAGTCCCCACAGAAGCTCTGGAAACTGGCAAAACAAATTTGGACAGTTCATCTTTTCCCGGTAAAAGCAGGTTTGCCTATTCATAATGCAGAAAAATCCGACGTGGAGAAAGCACGATGACCAATAAACCGCAGTAGAAAAAATGCGCTTCAATCAACGAAACAATTCAATATTTTTGGAAGTTCGTCAGACAAAATTCAAGTCAGTCAATGAGGCATAACTGCTTCTCCGTCGCCAAGAAATATTCCGCGTTGATCATCAGCGTTTAATTCAATTCATCCCGTTTCGGCCCAAGATGGAGACAGAATAAGAGAAACACACCACCAATGACGAGGCAAAAAGAAAACCCCATTTACTCAAGTAACAAACACACGAAGAAAACATCAAAGCATGCCTAAATCTTTTTGCTTGATATTTGCCCAGCAACCTATGCCTGATGAGTAAAGTAAAGACCCACGCCCTAATTATCTCCGTTGACTCGAAAGCAACATCTTTTCTTCAAATAATTTCCAACAAAATTAACTACTATAATGGGATAAACTGGAAAAAATGGTTACAAGAGACTTCGGGGAAAATACTGTATAAGGAAGTCTTGTTTGGAACCAAGCTTCCTATTACAATTTTCAAGGTTACCTTAAGCATTACTGCATCGGTTAAATTTGTTAAGAGATTATAATTACGGCTACAGGGACTTAGGGTGAATGCCTCGCATGAATTTAAATTTCTCATACGGGGAATATAATCAAGGTTTCTGCTTCGATTTTTCAACGAAAAAAAGGTGTGCACGGTACGAGAGTGCGTCTTTTTTCGACAACTGACGCTGTAATCAAAAAGCCGGTTCAAAACGCCACTCTTTCAAAATAGACCACTTGTCCTTCCAGGATGGTTTGAGGGGGAAGGCAGGATCCGCATCTTGGAGCAAACTCTCCACTTCCGCTTCCTGGGACTGTGTGTAAGGTTCATCGGTACACACGAGGGCTTCGACTTTCAAAATTAGCATTCTGCCAACTTCGTCGCAGGACTGCGTATGTGTCTAAGATGAAGATTAAGCACGACTTCACCTTTTCAACTTTACTTTCACGTAAATTATTGAATTTCACTGAACATGCACATCCACTGCTTCACGAAAACAAACAAAATACTCACACGTATAGTTTCCAGCTTAGCTAAGTCACAAAAACGCTGGATTTCTCCCATGAAGACCTCCAATTCCGGTTCGTTCAAGTTGTGCTTTCTCAGCATCACCAATTTTGCCAACTGAAATTAAAGAGTTAAAATGCCTTTTTCCAAACGAAATATAAACAACGGCCGTTCTAGACGGAGTTGAGTACAGTATGGCGGCCATCCAATCCCAATGTTCTAATAAGAGCTTCCCGTACACATAGTACTGTATGTACCCGTATATCGATTCACGGACTCACCTTGCAAACCTTCCATTCAAACCGATTTATGAAGTTAGACGAAAATATGTTTTCTTCCTTTGATTTCAAAATCAAAGCGGCCAATGCTCCGATGAGATTTACACGGTTTGAGATACTGTTGAATTCCGTCCAGTTCAACGTTTTGAACGCCTTTTTGGGTTCTTCCTCTTCTTTCGACAGCTCGTTAGATTCTTCTTCTTTTCCTTTCGACAGTTCGTGAGATTCTTCCTCTTTATCAGAACATGGCTTGGATTTTTCTTCTTGCTGATACAGAATCTCGTCCAGAAATTCAGAAATGAACGATCCCTCCGCAAAAACTTTTTCGATCATCTGCGCAGGTGAAGACTCCGTCTTATCTATGAATGAAGAAAGAGCAAATCAAGACATTTTCACTGGAAAAATGTCCCCTCGAGTTATTCGGAGAAGAATAATGAACAAAGGATTATTCGGAGTTTGATAATGCTGTTTTAGGACAGGGTCTTAGTTCAGATATACTGTATTGCGATTTAGACACGACATTGAACGCAGATTGGTTGGTGTTTTCGAGAATAGTGGCATCAGAAAAGGGGTTTCATCAAGAAAATACGATCAGATCAACCAGACTTGACCTGATCCGTTGCACAAGAAATCATCAACAAGTTCAAAATGAGAGAAACAAATAAGATATCCGATAAGTTCGCTATATATACAGTTCTGCTAGCTACCAAATATGTTACACAACCGGGAAAAATCAATTTGCTTTTTGACACAGTTTTTCTGTGCATCTCGCGATTGTTCCAAATAACTCCTCATTTCAACCCCCTTTTAAAATGGATAATTTTTCCTGGTCCAGGAATACAAACTTCAGCCTTCAACAAACGTTTTCCAAAACTCTCAATCTTTTTCCTATGAATTAAAAGACCTGAGATGGTCACACACTTCTGCAGCAAGATCCAGGTTGTGCAGTACAGTAATTAATCAACAGGTTGCAGACTTTCTTTCATAATTTGAGATGAATGATTTCGACTCGGGGAAGTGGTAAAATGTAACAATTATGAGAAGTCCTGTATATACACTTGGTGTGTTGCTTCATGTAGCTAAGCGAAGGGTGGAAAAATAAAATACTGTAAAAGCTTTATTGACGACGGGGATAAGTTTCACCCTACGTTGGCTTTTTATCTTCTTCCCAACAAATCACAACGTTTCTCGAAGTTTCATCTCCCAGTTCAGATCAACGTTAATTCGAGACCGAGATACGCTTCTTCTAGTATTATAGCTATGATGATACTTTCACTATGCTTTTATCGTGAACAACCAATATACAGTATTTTTGACCTCTCAAATGACTTGGGATCGCAACACAAAAAAAAAAAACACCACGTGATGACCATACAATGGAAATACTGCATGTAGTTTACCCGTCAACTTCGCGTATATTTTCGAAACATCGTGATCCTTGTCGAAGAATCTTTCCTTTTCTGCCGTCACGTCCCGAAGAGCGGAATCGACTTCCTCTTTGTATCGATGGGAATAAAAAATTGGAGTTTTGCACCGCGGACAAACCCTCGGTCCAGGGATTTCCAATTGCATTTGCATCCACTTGTCCAATCCATCAGCTTCAAGCACGTGATTGCATTTATCAAGCAGGACAAATCTTTGGGACAAACCATAATCATGCTTTTAGAAGGTCACACTTCGTCTTTTTTGTTGAAGACGAGGAATATTTCATAAACTGCACGCTCAACATCACCAAATTTCCAGTAAGATAGGGGCACTGAGCAACATATTCATGTAACTGATGTGAGCATCAAGAATTCCAGCAGAATTTTAAATGCATGTCAAAGACAAAGATCATGCTATAGAGAAAGCGCATGGCTTCAACAGCAATTTCACCCATCTGAAGAAGTCCAAGGATCATAAGCATTTTAGTCATTCGATCATTCGAAACTATGTTCCATTTTATAACAAATCTGACTTACAGCAATCGCTTCAAAACTCTAGTTATTCCACAGTTAATTTCAGTTTCAACATTACTTGACATCCGGTTTGTCGCTAACGCTGTTTGTTGTCGAGTCAAAAAATTCCACTGCATCTTTTGTGCATTCTCGACAGGGCGGGCAGATTTCTCCGCAAAATCCAACGCATTTGTGCTGACAATCCAGTACTTTTTCACACGGTTCGTTGCATTTATTTTCCCCTCTGCCGCAATCCTCGGAGCATTTACGCTTGCACGGCTTGTGGCGACAACCGCTTGGGCATTTCTCCTGCGATAAATTAATTATTGCATCACATGAATGTCACGAATTGATACATTCCATGTACCATATTTACATCCAATATGCATCAAAAACATCATTTTGGACCTTAGAATACGTTTTTGAAACAAAAGGTAAGTCTCAGCAGAATTTTAAAATTTTACATATGGTTTTTGCTTCATATACACTCATCAAGTGGAGTTCTAATGCACTGAGTATAAAGCATGCCAAATACATAGAAACACACGAAATGTCTATTTGAAAGAAGAAAAATGGCATTGTACTTTTGGTGCTGTACATGGCATTTTGTTCTTTGAGAGGAGCATTTTTAAGCATAAAAATGCTACGTTACTATACAGTATATACACATTTCTACAGAATATGCGTGATTTTGATTACAGTAAAACCTCAATAACTCTGCCTGAACCTCCCTTAAGTCAAATTTTTTCGAGGTCCTGTCTGAATTCCCTTGGAAAAAAAGAACTAATAGCCTTAACTCAAAATCTCATCTGGAGGTCTTTTATGGACACAGGAAAAAAAAGCAACAAAATTGCGACTTTGTGTGTTTTGAAAGGAGGTGAAAGGCTATATACTGTAATGGGGTAAATGAACCATTTCTTCCAAGTTCAGCATGATGTCAACTTATTCAAGGACAAATCAAGGCCAAAAATATAACCAACTACAATTTCCTGGATATTCTTCCTTCTTCCCCCTCCTCAACTTGGATTATTTTGCTTGTCTCTTAAAATTCCACTCACAAAGGTTTGCCTGTTCAGCATCATGCTTGCAATATTTCTCAAAGGTGAGAATCTCTTCATACAATAATGTATTCAGTTCCTGCGCCTATATATTCATGACGATTTTGCTACTCGTAAAATTCATTGACTTCCATATACTGTGGTGTAAGCTTTTAACCAATTTTAATTCGACTTTGAAAATAACTTATCTCACCGAACATGGAACGCATGGTTCCCAGCACAGCCTATCACATGCAGAGTGTGGACACGCATTTGCACATCGTTCTTTGCACGGCAAGCATTTTAAGCAGCAGTTGGCTGTGCAAACATGTCCACAAACAAGTTGTCGACCGCACGGCTCCTTACAAGGCACATGGATACTGCCCCTGAAACACTCATTACATTTTCCAACACAGGCGTGTCCGCAGGACATGATTTTTCCACAAGGATAATAGCAATACTGCATTTTATCTTCGACTGACAATCGGAGGCTGCTCGTTGCAATGTGACACGGCAGTCTTTCTTGATGTCCACACCTGTGAGTAAGAATATAGTTCGTATAGGTCCAGTAAAACTGTATCAATTCCCGCTGCTTCGAAAGACTCACTTTCCGACATTCCCGGTTACATTTATCATGACAGAGCACTTTGTGGTGCACTCGTTGCAGCACTTTTCTGCGCACCTGTGTCCGCATGGCAACATTTTTTTGCATCTTCTTCTACAATCTGCCTTCGTTGGGACTCGGGAGCAAGGCAACAGCGTATTATGTGAGCAGTCAGGGATCACTTTTTTCACCAGCGCGCGACAATTTCCGCAGTCTTCTGCACACATCATTCGGCATCGGTGGCCACAAGACAAAATCTCGTCACACTGTGATAAATACAGTAGCAGCATCAGTGACTATATAACAATGGAATTTAGAATTTTGGAGTCCAGAGAATTACGAAGTTTTGCTAGAATGCATGTGAGCTTAGTAGGGAGCTTGTTCCATAAGCAGGGAACAACAATAAATGCTGCGAATAACTTTCAAGAAAAAAATTCGACGTTACTAACCTTAGCTTCGCATTCCAAAACATCTTCTTCCACGTGACAAAATGTTCTCACGAGATGACCGCATGGTAATGTTACATCCAATACTTCGTCGCATGGAGGACAAGGATCTTCATAACAAAATCCTGCGAATATTCTCGTAACAGTTAATAAGAATATTCGATAAAACAACGATTCTCCACGTATAGCGCCCATTCGAAAAACGTACCGCACTGACTAATGAGTCACGTGAATTACAGATCAACAACAACATAAATACTGTTGTACTCAATGTACCACGAGAAGCAATGAATTTGTAATTATTATTGAAATTAATTATTGTGGTTTACCTCGTTGGATCCGCACCTTCAGCAATAGCTTTTGATTTTATGTCAACTCATTATACTGATTTCATGATTTTTAACTGTTGAAAATGTATTCAAAGCACATTCTACTATGTTTGGGTGCCTGAGCAAAATGAATAGTTCATGTCGTCTCCCCAGCAGCACTCAAATTGTAAGGAGTACTGCATTACATTCACCTGCACATGGATGTTCCCTGGAACACGATTTTCCACAAGGCTTCCAACACTTGGATAAAAAATGCTTCGGGTCATCTTCCACATGGCAGAATTTTTCGCACGCATGTCCACATTGTAGCCTGATCGAGCACTTCGCCTTGCATTTTACCTGAACGCATTTCAGAGGTTGCAAACAATTTTAATCACATCGATTAAAAGTTTAAAACAATAAAAAAAATAAAAATCGTGTTTTACCCAACTTATTTTAGGTCATAAACTCACTTTACGAACAGCAGGCGTTTGTATGGAAACGCTGTAGAAGCTTCGTAAAGTAAAGAACGTTTACGACCGTTCCTTGGTCGCAAGCGAACTGAAAGACAGTACATGGCGGACACGGCACCTCCCCACATATGGATTTGCATGAGTGCTGGCTTTCAAGCACAGAACATTTTCTTCCGCATGGCCGCCTGCAAATTCCTGCCTCGGTTTCATGTTCTTTGTCTACAACGTGACAGATTCTTTCGCATAAATGACCACACGTCGCGATCACTTCGTTGCAAAGCTATACATGGGACATGAATGACATGAAGTTATGATTTGATTTATAAACAAAGCTGAAAGCAAAGAATCAAGGGTTTATATATGAANCTTTCGCATAAATGACCACACGTCGCGATCACTTCGTTGCAAAGCTATACATGGGACATGAATGACATGAAGTTATGATTTGATTTATAAACAAAGCTGAAAGCAAAGAATCAAGGGTTTATATATGAAAACTCAAATTGAATACCGTATACTCACTCTATCGCAACCTCCACTGACGGGAAATTTATTAGGTTCAAGAATGAAGACAACCTCATCAGGGTGGTTTTGACATCGTAGTGGGAGCGCTCTTCCAATCTGATTCTCTTTCAACAAGACTTGCTCAATCTTTCTCCAAATTACGCTTCCAGAACTCAGCACATCCATGTTTCCAATCATGAATATTCCTTTTTTGGCACGTGAAATGGCAGCGACATCTTGACTGTCAGTCTTTGAAGAGCTGCTACTGCCTTTCAACTTGACCATCGTCATAAGTGACAGAAGGATAATATCACTCTCCTCGCCTTCGTAATCCTCGGTGGATGTGATTCGAACCTTTGCACACGTTGGGAAGCTGCTGGTGATGAACTAAAACAAGCGTGAAATATAATACCTTTCAATCCTAAATTTCATCGATTCGTTCACTGTAAAGTGCCTTTCTAGAAGTTGAGAGCGATTTGCGCAATATTCTTCCGCAAATGAAGTGCTTTTTTAAACTTTGAGAGTGATTTGCGCAATATTCTTCCAAGAATTATGCGACAATGTAAATTTAAAGAGTTTAGAAGAAGTCCAGAAAACATACTTTCATTCACTATAAAGACAAAAATGAACTTCTTTAGAAATGACTCGAAGATTTGCAAAAGTTCCATCACAGACGTACCTTCTTGAAGATGTGCAGCTGTTCTGAACACGTCGTCAGAATAAGAATTTGTTCATGCTGGTATCCTTGCAAGAGAAGGTACCTGCAAAAAGCCAATAAAAACTCGGCTTCCAGCACCATTTTCCTCTTGTTCTCCAGGCCTTCATCCTGAAAATAAAAAACATAGGTTACGTCAAATTGTTGAATCAGGTTTTGATAAAGTTCTGCACGTGGAGCCATTTTCAAAAAGTTTCAAGATTAAAAATTTTTTGAAATACATAATTCATTATACTCACTAAAACCTCCTTGGAGTTGCGTGTGACGAAAAATACGTTTTTGGCAAGACCAAAAATATCATCGTCAATCGCGACACTTGAATGGTCTTGCAGAT